AGTTGCAACTTTTAATGAACAAAAATATTTAATATATAATCAAAAATATAAAAAATATATAAATATAAAAAATATTATAATATTTTAAGAAAATCTTTTTTTTTATAATATATATATATATATATATATAGATATCTATATATAGATATATATTTCGATTTTAATCGCTAAAAAAATTAATTTTTTTCATATCAAGCAGCAATCATATATCACAATCATATTCAATAATTTATTTTTTAATTATAATACATAATTAAACTATAATATTTATTCATTAATATTAATAATTTAATTCCATTAAATTAAAATATAATAAAAAAACAGAATTTTCTATTAAATTAAAATCATGAAAAAATAGGATATGAGGTTAATTACAAAAAGTTAATTTTTAAAAAAAAGAGAAAAATATCAATTCATCTATATATTTTTTTCTATTTACGGAAATTGATCGAAGTCAATATTTAAAACGATTAGAAATATAAGAAAATCTTATTAAAGAAAAATAATTAAAAAAATGATATAAATATAAATGAATGATACAAAAATTTTATTAGATAAAAATAAATTGCTTCGAATAGTAGATAATTATAATTTGACATATATGTATAACTCGTTCAAAAATTTTAAAAATTTCAATATCATAAATAAATTAATTATTTTAATAATTAATATAAATAAATTATTTTACATATCATTAACTATTTATCATTAAATACATAGCAATATGAGATATTTTCTCATATATGCTTCAATAAATCACATTCTATTCTTTCTATTGTTATTACAAATATAATTAAATAAAACTTTATTCAGTCATCTAATAAGAAAAAAAAAATTGATTGCTACCTAATATTCATATGGATACATGAAAATCATGAACTCGCCAGAAGTCAATAAAGGAAGAAAAAGTACATTAAATGCGTAAATTTGGCATCCAGAGTCGAACGAACAAAGCTCGAATGTATCGGATGTTCAGATCTCTCAACCTGCTGCCGTACAGAATTTTTTATGATTCACCAACGACCCGTTGACCAGTCTCTTCACTTGATATCCGATAACGAAGGTCCTTACTATACACAATCTCTCCTCACGATTTTTACGGATTCCCCCGGATCCGAGAAATATCCTTTTCTTAATCAAATGATCGTTTGGACAATAAAATGATGAATAAGGACAAAAGAAATTACAAAAAGGCACAATTTTCGAACTATAATTTATTAATAAGTATTAAATGTGATCATTTTGATTAAAATTCCTAATTTAAAGAATATATAAATAAATTTTTTTCAATAAACATCAGCTCAACTTATGAAGTAATTACATCAATAATTATTTAATTGAAAAAAATCTCATTTTAAGAAACAAAATATTATATTGCTGAAATTTCTTTTATAATAGAAAAATATTTATGCAAAAAAAAAATTTTGCAAAAAATTTTTATAATTTTTTTAATAATATATTATATTTATATATTATATATTATATAGTCTATTATATCTATTATATATATAATAGACTAATAAATGTTTATGTTTCTGAATTTAATATTATATAATCCAATATTATGTAAATTAATTTAATCATTATTTTTTATATATTATAATTCATTATTTTTTATATATTATTACATATTTTATTATATTTTTAATAAATAAAATAAAATATCGTTTATTTAATCATTTATAATCACATATTAAAATATTTATATTATGATATGAATATAGAAAAATTAGAAGGAAAGAAAAAATAATTGTTATAGTTGAAAAATGATTTTTCTTTTTATAATTTCTATGAATAAAAATTGAGGAAAGAAAAAATTTATATATTTTTAATTTAAATAAACTATTAAATATTTTAATATAAATATTTATTAAGTCAAATATGATTTTATTGAGATTATATTATATTATATTATATATAAATTATTATATTATATTATTATGTATATATTATAAGTATATGTTATATGTTGAGATTATTAAATATATAAATAATATTAAAATTGATAATATTTGTGTCATATAAATGATTTTACATGAGTTTAAAAAAATATTATCGATTTTAGCGAGCCTAAAATAAGTTATTAAAATTAACATTCTGAATAATCAATGAAAAATCGATAAAATATTTTATCTATTCTAAATAATTACTGAAAATGATTTTTCATGAATAATAAAATTACTATAGATTTTTTTCCACCAAATATTCTTCTATTCAAATTAGAAGAAACGAAAAACTATAATAAAAATAAAAAATAAAATAATACACTATAGCAAAACTATTTAACAAAAGGAATTAAAATATCCAATATTATAAAATTTATATTTTATTAAAAATAATGAAGAAAACGTAAAAAAATAATAAGATGCATCTTATTATTTATTTTCTTATAAAAGAATATATCTGTAAGGAGAATCACAATAAGATTTTTTAGAATTTGTTGAACAATATTAAGAATAATTTTATTCTATATTATTGAAAACAAAAAATAAATTCCATCGAATCTAATTTAAATAGAATATAATTCTTTATTTCAAATTTTTATTTAAAAAAATATCAATATAGATACTTATAAAATATTATATAACAAATGATAAAATTATAATATATCAAAATTCATACTAGAAGGATAATTATTATTATATATAATTATTAAAAATGATTTATTATATCAAAACTGAAATAATGATTCATCATTATTAAATTCTTTTTTAAAATACAAATGTGATTCATTCATCAAAAGCAAACAATTAACACTTAAGAAATATTGAAAATTGATTAATTGCTAAAAAATAAATATATAAAGGAATGTGATACTATTTATAAAAGACTTCGATATCATCAGAGAATTTAAAATCAAGATAATCTTAAAATTAAATTTCAAAATCTAATTTAATCTAATATTTAAACTTATATTATCGATTTGAATCGATAATAGAAGATATATCAAATTAATGTAAGAATTCTATAAGAAAACCATGTTTGTATTAAAACCATTTCATGTATTAATTTTTACATTAAGTTTTCTAATTAAAAAAAATTATAATATCAAAAAATATATATAATCAAATAATCAATATTATTATTTATATTATTATATTATATATATATTCTTCATTTACAATAAGTTTAATAAAATTTTTATAGAAATAAGTTTAATAAAATTTTTATAGAAAAAATAATTTTAATATGAGTCAAAAATAATCCGACATTATTCATTGACACTGCTACTAAACAATCCATGAAAGTTAAATATAATGAGAATAAATATCTCATGATCTCAATAATAATGAATATTAATTTTATCAAAAATACTATATTTTTGATTATTACAAAAATCTCTTTCTGTTTCTTTGAATTCTAGCATTCTAATGAATTATAATTCAAGTTTTTTAATTTTAATAGGTCGAAACTTCACAATTAAATTACTTAATAAATAATTCAATTAATTCTTGAAAATCCATCGTTATTTAATAATTTTATCAATTTAAAAGCATGCAATAATCACGCAGTTTATTTTTACACTTCATCACCAGTTCATTATTTTCGTTAAATAATCTAATAATCATATCTATATAAGTTCTCTTTCCAATCATTCTAAACAATAGAAAACATTTGATGTTTATCTTATGATGTTTTATAGGTTAAATATCAACTTAATTAATCGTGATTTTATTAAAAAATTTTTTTTATTAAAAATTTTATACTATCAATCATTTAATCAAAAAAATATTAAATTATTTTATTCTCTCCTCAGAAAATTTTCTGTTTATCATTTTTTTTTCTTCTACATAGGTTATAATCTCGCGAAAAATATTAATTATTTAATATCTAATTCAATGTTATTTGAATTATACTTCGATCACGATATCGGCTCTATGATTTATTAATAGGATTAATTTCAGAGTCAATATGAACTACTTATTGCATTTATTTGGTTACTTTATATGCATCATACGACTGTCCAGCTAACTAATGCACTGTATTATACCGAAGACTATATATTCATCTTAACGGCACTTTCATTCAATTTGTCGTTGCGATATTACACGTGCAGAAACATGCTTTACACAACATAATATTAGTATTATATACAATATTAACCCACTATAATTAATATCTCTCTGATATGTTTATCTATACAAACTGAAAAATATGTATTTTCTAAAATATCTATTTTGTTTGATATCATAGTTGAAATAGATATAAACATTCTTAATAAACATTCTAATAGGAAATATGAAATCTAGACAAAAGTCATTTCGAATACAAAAATAATAATTTCGATAATAAAAACAATAATTTCGAAAATAAAAATAAAAAATATAATAATTTTGAATATAGAAAATAATAGAAAATAACAAATAAATATTTTGAATAATGAATAAAAAAAAAGTTTAAATCAAATATATTCAAAAATAAAATATCCTAATCAAATAATTAATTAATAAATAAATAATAAATAAAAATTCATTCAGTCATTATATTCAATATATTTTTCCATAATTGTACAGTCCACATAAGATTATACATTATACATGTTTTTTATGTTCAGATAAATTGAATGATTAAATCAAAAATTGCATTGATAAAGCAATAGAAATTTAAAGCAAAAAATGTTGATTCTTAATGATCATATACAATACATTTTGTTATATTTTTTTTTAATTATCAATCTCCAATTTTATATAAACATAGAAAAATATTTAATGGCAAGAGCTATTCTTTTAGTTTAAAATATTAAAATTTTGAGTTTAAAGCACATTACTGTTTATTCTAAGTATATTTATATTTTTATCAATTGAATATTTAAATTTTAAATTTTAGATACGCTTTAAAAGATCATAAATAATATAAAAAAAAAATAATCATCTCTTACTAATTCAATTCTAATATTAATTATTATTACTATATTAATAATTCATTCATACATGATTTGTTGTATAAAAATTAAGGATCACATGTATTATTAAAAAAAATTCAAATAAATAATTTATTACCTGATTTTCCAACTCTGGGGCCGCCGAGGACGACCACCCTGATCCTGTTCACGTTTGTCATCAGACGTGGATCTTAGGTGTCATTCGAATCGCGCTTGCACATCATATGTTCCAAATAACACTTTATGCGTTATTTTCCACTATATCTGCACTTTATTTTGTTTTGATCATATTAAAATCTAATCATCACATCGCATATATGACACAAAAAAATAATTATAATAAATGTTTATAAATATAAACACAATACTGAGTGATTTTCAAAAACTATAGTTTTTTAGAAACTATAATTTATGTTAGCATTTATATATAAATAAATTGTTATCAATTTTCATAAGTTGATTATAAATATTTCTTTTGAATGCATATATATTGAATTAAAGATTTTAAATCGAAAAATTATAAACTGACTTGTTTAATTTGTTTCTCAATTGTTTTGTCTTTGTACGAAGCTTTTATACACTCGCATTGCAAAGCAACCGGTGATACTCGGTCACTTGCAGCGCATCCACTAATCACATTCAAATTGTAAGACAACTTCACATAACAGTTGAATATGCGACGTTCGTTCAAAGCATACTCTCCAATAGCGCGATAAACGTTGAGTAAGAGCCACTTTTTTAGGTTCAACAACACATCGATCTTTCGAAATATCACTATCGTATGTGATTCATTAGCTCGACGGTTGCAATCTTCTTGCGAACAAATCGGTACCAAATATTTCGAATTGTGACAACCAATTTAAAATTTGTCGTGTATTGACTAAACAATGAAACACAATTTTCGAATTTTAATCACTTTTCATGTTTTCAAACTTTCTATCACTTTTGTATTGTCACTTCTCTTGTGTATTCGCGAATTTTCGTTTGCGCTTACTGAAATCGCGGCACTATAATACGCATCGAGAGTTTCACACTGGCAGCGATCGTCGTTCCTCGCGTCGTCAAAAATGCCACTTTCTGTCCCTCGATTTCTCGCTTCTTCGATTTCTCTTTTTTCCTTTCGAAAACTTCACTTTCCACGGTCGCCACGATTCGATTGCATCTTCTGGACCATGGAGATAATAATATCGGTGGATGACGTTCCGGTCACGCTGCAAGCAAACATGCGGGCTACGCCGACACGCTGCGAATAATAACACAAGAAACGATTCAAGAAATGCTGTCTTGCTAGTTCCATTTATAACGGGTCGACGGCCTCCCACCTCATCTTCTCTTCTCGCTTGGCGCCGCCAACGTCGGGCTCGTCCGGATTACGAAAAAAGGCTAGAAGGCGCGCGCGCGATCGCCAGTGCTACAGCAAAACAACACTCACTTGGACGGGCAGACGAATACTGGAAGCGAGAGGCGCGGAGAACTAGACTTCAAGCACCGCCCACGTGCTCTCCTGTAATTCTTGCGGCGCGCCGTTCGAATTTTTTTCTTTTACTGGATTTTTCCAAGACACGTTTTTTTTTTGTCAAATGAAATCGTTGACAAATCACCGTTTTACGCGCAAACACTAGTAAAAATCATGTTAGAATTTTATAAAACCTGACATACATGAGAATCGTGCGCACGGATATCCATGTATTTTCAGATTAGATGAGACATCGTACATCGATATCGACATCGGTTGTTGAATTATTTTCACCAGACTTATGAGATTTTATATCGTTCCCATAAATGGTATCATGAATCAATTTATGTTTCTTTATGTTCTTTAAGTCAGTAGATTAGATAACACATTTTAGTATCCATCATACATTATATTATATACCCACAGAAATAATATATTTTTATCTTTACGGAATCAAAATCGAATATTCATGAATGATTCACATAAAAATATTTTAATATTTATTTATTAACGGCCGATAAATTGTGTACATCATTTTTTAATATTTCCTTTATAAAAATCTGTACGTTTGTTTGCAGTTTAAATATTTTATTATTAATAGAAATATAATAGATGCTCAAAATTTTATATGATATAAGCGAACCAAGCGAGAAGAGATTAAATTCAATATATAAACGAATACTATTTTGAATATTATTTAAGTATAATGGAATAAATAAATAAATAAAATTCTCATAAATCAATGCGACCTTTAGAAGATCGATCATATAAATATTAAACAACGAACAGATGCTACTTATATTTATTCAAGAAAGTTGATTGTCTCCTTTCGATGATACCAACTGATTCGACGTAAAAAAATATGAAACGTAGAAAAATTCGCATAAATAAATACCTGTATTCCACTTGTAATAATAAATTCACTCGATAAAAAATTTCCCAAATTTGTTGTCTGTTATTTAATTAATTATTGCTCATATAAATTTGATACTGTTTACAATAATGACAATAATATGTGAAAAGAAACAAAATCACTGATGAAAATATACGAACGAGAACGAACAAACGTATGACACAAAAAACCTTTATACCGAACTCACCGAGCGTTCGCCGGCGAATGCTCGAGTCTGAGCGCTTCGCACTGTCTAATATGCACTCTCCAGTATATCCACTTGAGCATGTCTCGATCACGGCATGGCGTACCGCTTCACAGTACAAGGTGACTGCCGTGTTAACAGGTAAGTGTAGACCAACACACGAGCACTAGTATGCAAGCGCATATCCATTAATGCAAGTAACTACGCAAGCGCTTACTTTTATAAGATAAAATCTACTGCTTCAAATTATTATATTGACATTATTAATTTGAAAAACATTTCTTATTAAAAGTGATTTAAAATAGAGCATATATATGTATGTATATATATATTATTTTTATTATTTTATATATATATATATATATATATATATAATTTATATATGTATATATAATATATATTTTCTATATTTACTTATAATTAATAATATATATTAATAATAATTAATAATATTAATATTTCTATATAAAAATATAAATATTTATATAAATTTATATTAAATTTATTATTAATTGAAAATATCTCTTTATAATCTATATAGTTAACTATCAAATTTTTTTATATATTGTCTGATTTAAATGAATATATTTATATGAATAAACATTCTAATATTAAATAATATAGAATAATTTACTTTTTAAATCAGTTATATAGATTTTAAACTAAATTAGATCTCGAAAATATAATCGAATACATATGCATTTGTTATTGATCTTTCGTTGGAAATGCATCATAAAGAATACTCCCTATGTTATCGATTGAGTTTGATACAAGCATATTGTGGATAAAGCTGATAATTTGGTATGCGTGTATCCATAGCAACTAATTAAACAGAAGATTGTAACAGAAACATATTCTCTTTTTTGTTGTAACAGAAAAATATTTTTTCCAAAGAAAAGATATTTTATTTGATATCATGATCGAAACAGATACAAATATTATTCATAATACAAAATGTGGACAAAAGTCATTGCTCGAAAGATATGATATACCGGTCGAGCATCTTTCATATGAATATATTTCTGAATGTACAAATGCAAAAAAATTGGAGCGTATAGTAACTATATTGCGGTAAGTAAAAATTAGGATTTTTAAAAATTAAATTCTAATAAATTTTTGAATATATATTTATTTTGAAAATTTTTTTAATATTCTTTATATATTTTAATAATATAATATTATTTTTAATTTTTATACTTTGATACGTTTTGTTCACAGTTCTGGTGAAGAAGGATTTTATCCAGATTTAACAAAACATGCAGAAAAGTGTTTAAATGTTATTAAGCCAACGAGTATAATTTTAAGAAAATCCGAACCCATTCTTAAACGTGATATGTTAGAACCAAATGAATGTAAAGAAATTGATAAAGATATTAATGATTGGATGTCTGAAATGCAGATTCGAGAAAAAGATTTAGAAGAAGGGAAAACAACTTTATTAAATCCTTTACCTTCACCAGACATTCGGGAATTTAAAGAAGAATCTCTAAAAGTATTTAATTATTATCTAAATTTTGATACATATATTATTTAATTATTCATATTAAATATAATATAATATAAATTATTCATATTAAATATGATATATAGTTATTTAAAAATATTTATGTTTTATTTGTTTAATTTAATTAGAAAAATTTTGCGACAAACTTAAAAAATACTAAAAATAAACGAATTGCTTCTTGTGATTATTCTGCTTGGGATAAATATGACGTTGATGTTGAACTAAATAAAATAGATATACGAGAAGATCAGCAAAAACTTGAAGCAAAGAAATTACAACAGAAACAAAAAGAAATTATAGAAAAAAAGAAGCTGGAAAAACATACGATTATCAATACATGTATGTATTGATAATCATAATCTTTAAATTTAAAATAGAGTAAAATAAAAAATAAAAAAAATTATAATTATTTGAATAAATTTAAATTATTTACAAAAATATATAAAAAAATTTTATAAATAAAAATATATATAAAAATATATATATATAAAATATATACAGAAAATAATTTTTTTATTAGCGGCATTAACAGGAACAGAATTAGACGTAATGGCAGATCAAGAAAGAGAAAAAGGAAACGAAGCTTATAGAGCTGGAGATTACGAGGAAGCTTTGGAACATTATAATATTAGCATAAAAATGAATTCGAATATAATTACACATAATAATCGAGCAATGACGTGTAAATAAAATTAGTTTTATTTATGTTATTAAAAAAAATCTATAGATTAAATTATATTTTTTCAGATATTAAACTTCAACGTTATCAAGATGCTCTTAAAGACTGTAACATAGTACTCAATGTAGAATGTATGAATATTAAAGCTCTTCTTCGGCGAGCTTTATGTTTAGATCATCTTGGAGAATCGTCTCAGGTATTCAAATAAAAATTTTTTTTATTCACTTTTTTCTTTGATTGCATGAATTTGAAAAAAATAATGTATATATAATAATAATAATATATATTATATTATATAATTATATATTTTTTATTAATTATATTATATATATATAATTATACACATATAATTAGGCATTGGCAGATTGTGAAGCTGCTTTGATATTAGAACCTACTAATGCCGTAGCGATTGCTGGTGTGAAGAAATTAAGAAAACCTTGCGAATCTAGAAAAATAAGGTACGATAGAAAGATAATTATTTAGTAACGTATATTTAAATTGTTCACTTTTGCATTTTCAGAATGACTATCACAGAAGAACAAACTGAAGATACAAATAAAAAATTAATATCAAAGTTAAATGAACTTGAAGAAAAAAAGAATTATGTTTCACAGTTTAACTCAAATAGTATATGCTATTGCGATAAAGCACCAGGTCCATCACGAAATTTAAATCCAAGTCCACATATTAAGGCTGAATATTGTCTTGAAAATAATAATAGAGAAACAACGATAATTAAAAATACTCTTTCAAAGAAATCTGAAAATATTCCAAAAGTAATTAATGTGAACACTGAACTGTTCAAAAGTCCAGTTTCTTCTAATAATTATTCTTCAAATGTGTCTAAATTATACCAAGAAAAAAATGATCCTGATCCCTTAACAACGAAACATAAATCAACTTTTTCTCGTACAAAATCTCCCATAGGAACTAATTCAGTTATTATTGAAGAATTACCTAATGAATCTAATAACAAGAATTATATAAATGTTGAAATCAAATCGAAGGAAACAACGAATAAAAATATATCCAACACAAAAATTAAGAACAAAAATAAATCATCCGATAAACAAGTAAAACTTAAAAATCTAACTAAAAATTGCGAAAAATATTATTTAAATGAGAAACCTAGAAAAATAGAAATGGCAGATAAATATAAAAATAAAACTAGTAAAGAAGAGAAACCTATTACAAAGATTATAAATAATTCATCAAAAAATGATTTTGATCTAGAAGTATATGCTCAATTATTAAGATCAGTAGATTTAAATTTAGGTTTGTATTTTAATCTAGCAACTATATAAAATTTATTGTCATAAAAATATTTTAGTTTTAGGAAATGAATTAGATGGAAACAAGTTCAGTACTATATTGCATTGTTTAGAACAGTATTTTTGTACATCTGACAATATAGAACTTTTGAATAATTGTTTGAAATCAATCAGTCAAATGAAACGTTTTTCAATTATCAATATGTTTATGAGTAGCGAAGATAAACAAGGTATATTCGCAATGAAAATTATATTAAATGATATATATATATATAATATTTATATAATTATTACAATACTTTTGCTTTATAGTTATCAAAAACATATTCAATTTCTTAGAAGAGCATGGAACGTCAGAAGTTTCATCATTGCGACAAATTTATTGCATCTAAGAATACTATGCATATATACATTTTAAAATGTTCGAATTTTGTAGTGACATTTCAAGTACCAACTTTATATCTTCTAGTAATAATACATAAGAAATTATACTAATAATATTGTTTTTTTTTAATTAATAAGTATATATAGTTAATGCAAATTATTTTTATTTGAATAAAACATTATTTAAATATAAAAATATTTATAAAATATTTACACGAAAATATAGAAAAATATATAATACTTTTTTTAGAAAAATCACTAATTAAATCATGAAAATAAAAAATTCTAAAGATTTTTGTTGAATAAAACTTATTTTCTACTATATTATTTATAAAATTAAAACCACATGCAATTATTAATATGTGTATTGCATCTGATAAGTTTTAGTAGTGAATTTTTTCGCCAATTCCCTACTTCAATATTTTCTTTGCATTTTCATCTATCATTCAATGATGGCAGCACATGTACAGTTCTAAGCGAGTGCGCACTCTGGCTTTGTTCCGACATCCGGACTCCGTGATTTTAGCGCTTCGTCAGTTGCGTACTCTTCCGTTCATGCAGCTTATGACATTTTTTTCTGTTACTACAAGATGTTTACTTGGATGAGTCCTGCGAATTTCGACGAGGATCCCGATAATTCCGCGTGCAAAGCCGCCATGAAACTGCAACGGAGACAACAGTAACTGGAAGGTACGTGATCCGGCGTGATTACGAACGGCCCGGGTATGTTTATAGCCTGCAAACTCTGACATAGCAATGGCGTACTGTCGCCGTAAAGGCCGTGCCAACAAAATTGTCCTTTGCCTTATTTAATCTAAGTTAATTGTGCACGCAGGAATTTAATCACAAAACAATGTTTCGTATGTGATGATACGGTTCATAGTGACAAGTACAGTTTGTGAGTTTTGGTGATGAAAAGTGGCGTTTTTCGGTGATTATAGTGCCTCAGTTTTCCCCACTGTGGAATGACCGCCGATTGTCGAGCGGCACGCCATCCTGCTGTAGCTGACTGAGGACTATACTATAAAGAGATTAAAAACTATGTGAGTTCGAACCAAAAACGAGGTTGTGTCTTTTATTAACAAATGAAAATAATTTTTAAGTGAAACCAAATTTTTCCTATGAAAAATAATATTAGTATAGGAATTTATGATAAGACTAAGGAATAAGCATTGACACGTAAGAAAATGATTGATGTTTTGTACATCGCTTATACATGAATTATTAGTAACAATTTAAATAAATTTTAAAAATTTTGAATTATAAATATTATTTTAAGATTTTAAAAGATAAAAAATAAATGAAAGAATAAATATAAAATAAAATTTTGTAAATATTGTGATTATATATATTTAAGATATATTTATGTAAAATATAATATTCTTTTATTTAAAAATAGACCTCTACAGTAAGAGCATTTTAAGAATAATTTAATATATGAATAATATAATAATTTAATTAAAATATAATAATTTAATTATATGAATAATTGAAAATTTATTATTTTAGAAGAGAATTTTTATTTAGGATTATGTATTAATGTATTTTAAAGATTTGTTTGTCTCATGTTCAAAAAGATACTTATTTCCTTTTAAAAAAATCTAAGTTTTTAATTATGGAATTATATATTTTGTGTTTAAATTATTTCAAAACATTTATGCTTAAAAAAAACAGAGAAAAAGAGAAAAATATTATGTTTTATTTAAAAAAATATAAAATATAAAATAAAATATAAAAATATTATATATAAAATATAAAAATATAAAATATGAAGTTGAGATTAAAATCAAAATTGAAATAATAAAATTGAAATTAATAATAAACATATAATATTGTATATGTTATAAAATTTGTTTGTATTTTTTTTATAATGAATTCTGTTATAACTGTCATTAATTTTTTTATGTACATATAATTCATATATATTATATTTTTATTTTTTAAATGTTATTAAATAAAGATAAATAATATAATTTATTTTATAAAAATTATGTTTTTAGATAAAAAATTATAGATTAAAAAAACTTATAATTAAATATAATTAATATATGTAATTAAAAATATAATTTATGATAATTTTACAATAATTTATTATAATTAATAACTTATAAAATTATGAATAATGCAAAGAATATTAAATATAAAATATTTTGTCAATTTTTTTAACATATATATTTTAATGTTCAATAGGTTATGTCAAAAAAATTTAGGAAAAAAAGTATATTAAATTTAAGAGATATATTTGAAAATTTCATTGTAATTCTTTAATTTTTTAATATAAACATAAATTTACAAAAAATTGATTTTTAAATTCACATTTATAATATAAGTTTTTTTGTTTACATAGGACTACATAGCAACAGAGGTTTAGTAAAGGTGCCATGGATGATGAAGAGCGTCTTGAGGGTGAGGAAGAAATGGAACTAGATGAAGCCTCTGATGGTGAAGATGAAGATGAAGAAACAACAGGAATTCCTGTATCACCAGCCAATTCAGATCAATTGCTTGGTCCTGTACCAACAACTCCTGGTAATAGTGAGTATATATATTCCTAATATATATAAATATATATATATATATATATATATATATATAATATATATATATAATATATATATATATTCCTAATATATATATATATATTAATAAATTTATGGTATGAATAATTTATATTGTATTTTTAATATTTTTTATATAAAATGTTATTATAAAAATTATATATCATTTCAGAGGAAGCACAAAAATTTGTTTCTCTTGCAGTAACCCCAGATGAAGCTTTTCATGATCCTTTACGGTACCAGAAATTTCCACTTCCTGGAGGTAAACCTTTAAATATTAGGCGGGGTCCAGGTAGACCTAGAAAAGAACGTCCACTTGGTATTACACGTGGTGGAGGTACTCGTAGACCTTTTGGAAGAGGGACCACTAGGGGTAAAGGGTTAGTATTTTGTAAAAATGAAATGCATAAATATAATTAAATTAATTTATATGTAATATACAATTATATTTAATTTTTCTTTTCATTTTTATTTTTTAGTCTTGGATATGCAAGAGGTGTACCACGCCGTACTAAAAGTAAAGATGATGATACACATTCAGAATCCCCAAGTCCTCTTCGTCTTGGTGAAGATACTCCTGATGGAGAGACATCTAACACTGAGAGATGTATGCCAGCACCAGAAGAACCACCATATTTTCTAGAACAGTGGTAAGAATATTAAATATTTTTCTTTATATTTTTATATTAATTGCATTATAAGTAATAAAGAAAATATTTATTAAGAAAATATTTTTTAGGCCAGGAAAAGTATGTGCTTTATGTAATTTGGGCGAAAGAAGTCAATTAGGTCAGGGTGAATTATTAAGATTTACTTGCCCTGAAGGTTTCACTCCTGAAAAATCAACTAATCGCGACGAAATAACTGATCATCTTATTGATATATCTACTGGAGATAAAAGTCCACGTGCAGCAGGTCCTGGTGCTGTCACTTGTCGTAGACAAAAAAGTCTAGCTAAGTGCAGGTATTTAGGTATAATAAATTTTCGTATATATAATTATTTTAATGTTAACTATAATCAAATTATTATTTATAGAAATACTAGTCTAACAAATTTTTCGGAACCAGTGGAAGAATTAACTATAGTAGGATATTCGGAAGAACCAGAAATAGGAACATTATTTGAATCAACTGGGCACTATTATGTTCATCAATCTTGTGCAGTATGGTCAAGCAATACTCAAGAGTTAACAACGGAATCGTTGAGTCCAGCGATAGTTCAAGCTTCATCGAGACGTTGCGCTTTTTGTTCTCATTATGGAGCTGGAATTCCTTGCAAAGTCAGTATTTTTTACTCTCTTTTTTTAAATCTTTTTTATAAATATATATTTATATATACATAATTTTTCGAAATATTAATTTACTATTAAAATAGATTAGATTTTTTAAATTAAAAAAAAAATAAATAAAGAAAAATAAAATCAATAAAAAATGAGATAGAAATTTATAAATAGTCTATAAAAAATACTCAATTGATATCATAATTTGCTTAATATAAATTTGATCTTAATATCTTGATTAATTCACTAACCAATAGCTAAAGTTTCAGCATCTGATTTATATGCTAAATGTTTTGTTTATTTGATCTGATTTAATACATAATACAGATATAATATAGTCAATTACAATAAAAAATACAATATACATATTTTACTTTTTAATAGGTGGCATCGTGCAATCGTTATTTTCATTTACCATGTGCTGCAGCTTCAAGTTGTTTCCAAGATACAAAAAGTTTATCCCTCTTTTGCAGTCAACATTTGGGACAGGTTCCACTTCTATGTAAGTGCTATGTAATCGTTTATTTAGCTAAAAAATTTATATAGAATATTTGTATATATTATGTATATATTGTATATATTATTTGTGTAGAATATTTATGTATATTAAATGTACATATTTATATATTCTCTTTTATTTTAGTGAACGGTGATGTTACATGTATGCAGTGCTGTGGAATGGGAGATGTTTCCAACTTAGTAATGTGTTCCATTTGCGGCCAACATTACCATGGTAGTTGTGTTGGTTTGGCATTATTACCTGGTGTACGAGCTGGCTGGCAGTGTGCATCTTGCAGAGTATGTCAAGTGTGCCGTCAACCAGAAGATGTTTCAAAAGTAATGTTATGTGAACGTTGTGAAAAAGCGTATCATCCTAGTTGTTTACGACCAATTGTTACATCTATACCTAAATATGGTTGGAAGTGTAAGTGCTGCCGTGTATGCACAGACTGTGGTTCGCGTACACCAGGCGCTGGTCTTTCATCACGGTGGCATTCCCATTACACTGTATGTGATTCGTGTTACCAACAAAGAAACAAAGGTTTTTCGTGTCCTCTTTGTAGAAAGGCATATCGAGCTGCCGCGTATAGAGAAATGGTTCAATGTAGTGCATGTAAAAAATTTGTTCATGGTACCTGTGACCCTGAGGCTGATCCATTAACTTATCAACATCGTAAAGAAGTTAAACCTGATTATGAATATGTTTGTCTACATTGCAAAAATATGGCACTTGTAAAAAGAAAAGATAATATTGACGATTATGGTGGAGATTTGAGTTTAAGTGCATCACAAGAAAGTCTGTACGGTGATGGAGATTCGTCAGAATTTGATTATCAAGGAGGATCAGAGGAAGCACTGTATTCTATAGGTCTTGGAAAAGGAAAGCCATTTTGTGCATCTAAAATTGCAAAGAAGCGACTAGGACTTGGAGGTGGAATTATTGGCCGACCAAAAGGAATTGGTAAACTTGGATATCAAAAACGACAAAAAATGACAGAGTTTGGAAGAAAAAGAGGGCCCAAAGCAAAAATGAGAGGTATTTTTGGTGTACCAGGTGTAGGACTGCAGGTAAAATTTATTATTTATATTAGTTCTTAATGTTTTAATGTCTTTTCTTTTACAGAAATAAATATGTCTTAATTGTATATATTAATTATTACAGAGACCAATGTCAGACTCATTTTCAAAAGAAGATGAACCAGGTATTGAAAATAGACTTGTATTATGTTCTGCAAAAGATAAATTTGTATTGACTCAAGATATTTGCGTAATGTGTGGTGCGATTGGCACTGACCAAGAAGGATGTTTAATTGCTTGTGCACAATGTGGTCAATGTTATCATCCTTATTGCGCTAATGTCAAAGTTACTAAAGTAATATTACAAAAAGGTTGGCGGTGCCTTGATTGTACAGTATGCGAAGGTTGTGGTGAAAGAAATGACGAGGGTCGTTTGATTTTATGTGATGATTGTGATATCAGTTATCATATTTATTGTATGGATCCACCATTAGATTATGTGCCACATGGAACATGGAAATGCAAATGGTGTGCCCATTGTCAAACATGTGGTTCAAATGATCCAGGATTTAATAGTAGTTGGCAAAAAAATTACACACAGTGTGGTCCTTGTGCATCTCATACTGCCTGCATATCTTGTCAAGAAGCATATAATGAAGGTGATTTAATAATACAATGCATTCAATGTGAAAGATGGTTGCATTGTGCATGTGATTCGATTAAAAGTGAAGCAGAAGCTGAAAAATGTGCAGAAGAAGGTTATATTTGTATACTTTGTCGTCCAAGAGATATTCCACCACCCCATCTTTTATGTAATCAACCGAAACCACAACCAAATAAATATCCTCGCTCTCCACCACCGACATCACGCAGTCCTGAACTTTATAAACCTTCTCCTCAACAATATTTAATTGACGGCGTTTATTTATCTGAAGCTGGTATGAATCACATAAAATCATTGACTTCAGAACACCAACAAACAAGAAAGAAAAGAAGAAAAATACATCCTTTAATTGATAAAGAAGCAGACATAATGGCAACTATAGAATCTGTTGTTGCTGGTGGGAGTTTAGATAATTCTTTAGAAGAAAATGGAGGAAAAATAGATTTAGCAGATGTTAAAGATGAACCAACAGAAGTACTCAAAGAAGGTATGGTATGGACGCCACGTGGTGATCAACCACCACCAGAAGGTTTTAGTATTTATACAACTGAAAATGGCATACCAATTTTAAGACGTAAACGACAACGTAACTTACAAAAGTTAGGCATCGGTGGTTTTATTGTTAGATTAAGAGGCACTCGCAAAGATAAAGAAGAAGATGGAGATACAGAAAAACCATCGGATTCAACAGTTGTAAACGATGATAAACCACGTAGAAAACCACAGAGAAGAAAACCAAAGACAAAACTTTCCGAATGTTTTCCTCTCTACATGCAAGAGGCGTTCTTTGGTAAAGATCTTATGGATACAACCAAAGATAAGGAATTGGAAAGTAGCAGTGAATCAGATAGTGAGCGAAATGTATCTGGAAATGCAGATACTATTCAATTATCTCAAGATGAATTAAAAGCAATGGAACAAGTTAAAGCTAAACAAGAAAAGGAAGAAGAGAAAGTACCTCCAGAAGCACCTATAAAACGTGAAGAAATTGTAGATGACGAAGGTAGTGATACTGAAGCTCTTGGTGACATATTGCCTATTTCGGGTGACTTACTTGACAATGATCTTGTTAATACTATAATGAATGAACCAGATGAAGACTTAGCAAAAGCTAGTGAAGCATTAGATGAACTGGATGATACACCAGGAACGACTAAAGATGAATTAACAGATATTCTCAGTCCACATTTCAATATAGAATCAATGGTCAGAGATACAGGTAGACTATTATCAATTTTTTATTATTTATAATAATAATAATAATAATATTAATTATCAGTTACATTTTTATTAGGTTTACCTAACATGGATAGTAAAGATATTGAAGAAATATTTAAAGGGGTTTTAACTGATGAATCTCAAGAATCTCAAGAATCATCAGTCTTTCCTGTTCAAGCTCAACCATCACATCCTACATCTTCAACAACACCTCTTGTATCTCCATTACCACATCCTGGTAAACTAATTTAATAATTATTTTTGATAAAAAATTATGATTTAAAATACATAGTTTTCATAAAAAAATATAATAGGTATACAAACAACAATGCCTATAGCAAGACCTCAAGTACCTGGTACACTACCTTCTGTTGGTCAATCTAATTTAAATTCTCCAATGAGTTTTCCACCACCATCTCCATATCATTCAGAATACAGCAAGTATGTTCATTATATATAATAAAATTGAAAAGTAAAATATTTTAAATAATTTTTTTTTCTTTTTCTTTTTTTATTTTATATTTTTTAGTAGTCCACAATTCAGTCCTGCTTTCTCTGAACCAAGAAGTCCATGGGTCAATCCTGATGATGAGGGTACTTCATCAACAAGCAATACTACAATTTCATATAACCAAAGAAGTAATCTTAAAATGGAAGCTGATGAAGCTTTAGGTCCAGGAGCTACTATATCTTCTGTACTTTATGCAAATATTAACCATCCAGAATGGAAAACAGAATATCCAGGTATATTTATTTTATTTTTTATTTTATTTATATCTTAGATATAAACTTAATTTAAATAATTATAATAATAATTTGTATTTATATATATTATTTAAGCTTGGTCAGAAAGATGTAAACAAATATTAAAAAAATGGCGTGCATTGCCCAATGATAAAAAAGCTCCATATCTAACACTGGCACGAGATAATAGAGCTGCAATTCGCATGAAAAAGACTCAGCAGGTAGGAATGTTTTTAGAATACTTTTAAAGAAAAATATAAGTGCTAGAAAAGCGTGAATCTTTATGTGAATCGTACCCATTGTCATCTTTAAAGATGTCTTGTGCTAACACACAGGTCAAACTAACAGCTTGTCCTTTGTGTCCAATACCTGTATATTCTTACAATTATTGAAATTTCATTTACATGATCTGTTTAAAGAAGAAACTTGATAATATAATATAAAAATATAAACAATTAACTGCAATATAAAAAATTCATAATTACGTTAATTTATAATTATTCTTTTGATATTATATTATATTGAAATTATTAAATATTTATTCTTTTATATTGGACATAATATGCAATTGCTTTATCTTTATGTTAATCATCATGATGAATGTTATTACATTATTTAATTACATTGAAACATATTCTTTACTTACCTTCTAAATATAAATCACCATTTTTCTAACAATATTTAATCATATCTTCTGTCAGATCATGTTTCATTAGAAATGTAGATGCTAATTTGATATTTTAGGAATACCGATTTAAATCTAGCTTTTTCCCAATAGTGATCCTTCATTTTCCTTAGAATCCTCTGAAGAATTGAATTTTACACTATTACCTTTGTATGATATATTTTCGAAATATGTAAGCCATGAATACTATAATGTAAGTGTGTGAACGAGGCACCCCTTGAACCGACAGATATCCAAGGATATACCAAGCACGACCCCAGTCACTGCAACAAGTGCACCTACCATCATCACCAAACCTGTCACAACTATGACATCAGCTCAAGTTTCTCCAGTAGTAGCTATGGCTTCCAACCAAAGGCAGATTGGACTTTTGACCTCAGTGGGCAGTGAAAAGACACAGGAAAAGAATGGAATGACTGTGTCGACAACAGGAGTGACAGTATCAACAGTTAGCAGTAATCATCATGCGGAGGTGTGTGCGGTGCAGGGACCGCCGAAGCAGCTAACATCTACTTCCCCGAGTCCTTCTCCAACATCCACGACCCCTTCTTCTTCACCCAGGCCCAGTTCTGTGAATTCTATTAATTCCATTAACAGCCTGGCGCACCAAGAGATATCCGGTAGCCAGGCTAGAGTAGCTCAGTCGTCAGCCACGCCTTGCACATCAGCAACTGCTTCTTACTGCAACATGGGCGCCGGTGAAGGGCAGCATCAAACGTCACCATCCCAGCAACGTCCTACACCTGCTCACATTACGATCAGTACCAGTACTATCGCTAACAGTCTGAGCATTTCTCAGGCATCCCCCACTACCAACGTTATGGTGGGAGTAGGTCCTGTTCGCCAATTATCCTCGGTAGACCACCAGATTAGAGTGCTCACCCCATCTGAAATCATGCGCACCCTTCCTTCCCTCAGCCAGGAGCACTACGATCCGCCACCCACTGCAATTATTCACACTGTACCTGTACAGTCCCCTATGGTGAGCCACCTATTCTGTGCCTCTAGTGTCTTGCTTTGTGCCACGTGTCTGGTCGACATTTAGTGTCCTTTCCGTTTTTAGAACAAAGATAATAGAATTATTGTTGTATATGCATCAGTCCCAATGATACTTTATTTTTTATTTACTTTATTTTTTATTTTTATCAAAGATATAGAATATTCCAGTCTTTAATGCATTATTGATATGATAAATAGTCTCATGTAATGAATCATCTCATATTGTTAAGATATATTATTATTTTTATTTAATAATATTTAGTTTAATTGATCAGACACTTTTTATTATATAAATTTTATATTAGATAATTTGTTGGACTGTACTATTGCAAATATTTTATTTTGCATATTTTATTATATTGTAATGGCATGTTAAAGACAACTGGTAGCACATATTTTTCTTTTTTCCTATTCCTTCATTCCAAAAATATTTCATATGAATATAATTATATTTCATATAAAAATAAATATATTTAACTTCCTATCTATCGATATGATATTGCTTTTTTAAATTGTGTTATAAATTATTGGTAGATATTTGTTGAATGTAATATGTTATACCTACAACAATATTATAATTAATTTTACTAACGTTTGTCGCTTTTTACATTTTCAGATGCTTATGTTTTTAGTAGTACACAACAGTAAACACAACAGTATTTTAGATTTGGTGTTATTATTTTTATACATATTATAATTATATATATATTTAATTATTATTATTTAATCATATTTAATAATATAATTTAAATTTTTAATTGCTAATATATTTAATATAATTTTAAAGTATTTATGATTTCAGTTGTATATGATTTTTATTATAAATATAACAAATTTTTTTTATTTTATTTAATATGCACAAGAAGAATGATCTTGTATCTTTGATACAAGACAAAATATATTTTTTTTATTCAATGATACAGTGCATGGAAATATTATAAATTAATCTGAAATAAATGTTTATGGGTGTTTTGTGTGGTAAAAAAAATTTCTTTATATAAACTTTTGATTAAATAATTATTCTAGATGGTGGCTGGTTATTATAACTATGTTGCATATATAAATATTAAGATTTTGCTAATTATATTAATTTAGTAATATTATTTGAATGTTGAATTTAAAGTACACTTGGCTGATTGTCAATTTGCCTTATTGTATATTTTATATTGCTTCGAGAAAAAATGGATCACTATATTCTTAAATTACTTCGTTAATTAAATAATTAAATAATTAAAAATTTCGAAATAAAATATTTTATTATTATTAAATAATTAGTATTAAATATTTTATTGACACAGATTGTAAGAATATAATGATCTTCTTTTTAATTAATTTTTAGATCTAATAAAATTGTTTTTAACAGGAACAAGAGAGACTTTCCAATAGAGATCGTTCCAGTAGAGAAGCTGAACAAGAACGTCAATGGAAACAATTACAAGCATTGCGTCAACAGCAAGCACAAATGCAACAACAAGTTATTCACGAACAACGTGTACATGGTATGTAATTCTAAACTAAAATATATATATATATTATAACGCTATTTAAATTTTGGATTTATATTATGTTTTTTGATAGCTATTACTAGAGTTCATAGACAAATAAGTGAAGATAATACAACTCAAGTAAATGCCGACAATACTACAGGATTAACAACACAACTACAAGTTTCCACATCACAAGTAAAATTTTAGTTAATACTATTATAATGTATTTTTGCAATGATCGAAATATATTTTTATAAATATTATTTATTTTATAGGATGGAAATCATATGGGACCATTAGCTTCACCGTCTCCAGGATCACGCAATACATTTGCCGCTCCTTCCATAAAAGTTACACGAGGTTTAGCACCTCAAAGTCCTCATCAGAGTATACCACGTTTACCCACTCAATCTTGTACAACAATGACACGTCCAGTTGGAAATGTTGTTAGACCAGGAATGCCAAATAATTTTACACAACCACCCTCTCCGTTTTCTCCGCAAGCGCCACAGTCTCCTCATGATTTTCCACAATCTCCAGCTTCATCACAACCTCAAGATCATTTTCAACGTTTTGATAATACTGAAGCTTATTCTCAAGCTTCTCAAACTCCTAGGTCACAAATTAGTGGTACATCATCATACTCCACTTCTCCAAGAAGCGATGTCTTTTCTCAACCACCAGGTACACCACGGCCTATGTTTAATGCTCCTACTACTCGTCCTTCTACTCATGTATATGCACCATCTCGTACACCTGATCCATACAGTAGCCAGCCTCCCACACCTTCTCCTGCTCCAAATTATTCCTCACCAAGGCCAGAATCTCGACAAGATTCACAACAACCTGAAGTGTTCAATCAACAATCAGAAGTGATTAATAATAGACAGTTACGTGATCTTTTGCAAAGACAACAATTTAATAAAAAAATGGAACCTGTGAGCACTACATGGAATCAAGGTATATTATATAGCAGAGATTATGTCATTTTATTAAATCATACATTTCAAGTAAGTTTGTATCAATTTCTAGATAGTCAAAATAATACGGAAAGCAATCAACAATTTGATACAGGTCATGTACAACTTCCACAACAAGCGGCAACTAGTACTAGTGAAGGTACTTTCAGGCATCCTTTACCTCCTGGTATTGTTAGAGCTAGGATGCCTATTCAACCAAATGTTTTAATAAGAAATCAAATTGGTAATATTCTATATTTATTTTTTCTTATTATTATATCATGTCATGTCCAAATTAATCATTTTTTTCCTTGTTTTGGATTTTGTTCAAATTGAAATATAATATATGATATAATATGATATGATATATAAAGATATAATATGAGATATAATATTCTCATAAAATTAGAGGGATATGAGTCATTATTGATTTTATATTTGTTTAAAAATTATAGGCCTTTAAATTTTGCATAGATTTGAATGTTTATCTTGAAAATATTTATCAGATTTATTTCATTTTTTCTTTTCATTTTGGAAAAAATGGAAAAATTTTTAAAATATATTTTTTTTGAATCAAAAAATTATTTTTTTAATATCAAAAATTATAAATTTTTATTTTTCAATTTTCAGTTTGAGATTGTGTTTTTAAAAAATTGAAAAAGATACTTCAAAGTGTTTTCTATGAATTAGTTGAATCTTATTTTGATTTGAATCAATTAATAAACGAAAATTAATTGACAATTAATTTTAAATAAATTGAAAAATAGTGATGTTGCTCCATTTTAGGTAAATAGATCATTACTTTGGTCACAACAATCGATTGATCATATCATTACTATCTTATATCTGCTCTTTTAGAAATGATGATTATGAAATCAAATAGTTTTATTAACATCTCAATAATATTCATCTATTTTTTTATTATTATTATCTCATAATTTATAGTAATTACTATTTCATTAATAATTTGTAAAAATTTATAAACAATTTTTAATCCATCTTGTATAAATTTAGAAAAATGTTATATTCAAAATTTTTTATACCATTGTAAATATTTAAAATTATTTTTTTTTTTCTAAAATAAAACTTAGATTTAAGTTTATATACAAGATATACTTAAGATATTTATTAATATAATACTTTCTCAATGAAACTGTTGCAAATTACATATATATTATTATATTATATATCTATATATATTATTATATATATAATTATATATATCATATATCATGATTTTGATGCCGTTGACTTTTTTTTTTACAACATTATACAATAAAAGATCATGTATTGGAATCACAAATTCTGTGAAAAACTTTCAAATGTATATATATATATATATGTGTATATATACATTTTTAAATAAATACGAAATGAGAAAAATGATGATTTATATCTTTTTAATCTTATATGAATTATATTATATTTCAATTTGAACAAAACTCAAGACATCAATGAAAAAAGTGATCAATTTGGTAAAAAATGATCTTCACAATTACAATATTATAAAGTACTTGCTATTTCATTTCACAATTTTACTTAACATATGTTTAGGAATAAATTCAAGACATCCTGTGGCAGGAAATATAGATGCCAGAATACAAAATATAGATCCACGAACTAGAATGCTTTTGCAAAGACCACAAGTAACTGCAACCATACCTCAACATTTTCAAGGAAACCAGACTTTACAAACACGTATGCCAGCTGTAAGAAATTCTATTACAGAACCTTATGATGTCTTACAACAACAAAGATTTCCAGGTATATGAAATTTGAAATTATATGATATTGTTCTTATATACTTTAACAAATATTTTATTTATAGATCCTAATCAAGGACAAAATATAACTCAACGTATAGTACGAACACCTCAAGATAACTTAAATCAGGGAATTAGAATGTTAAATCAAGGAGTTGGTATAAGAGCTCCTTTGATACCAACAACGGTTAATGAAGCCACTGTTAGTCCTTCTGAATCATCAGAAATCCCTGATAATGTTACTGCAGAACTTGAAAAGTTAGAGCAAGAAGGAGCACCAATGGTTGAGGTCGAGGGCGTAAGTGCAATATTGGGAGACTTAGGAGATGATGATGATGAACTGCTTGGTAAGTAATATGTAATAATTTGTAATTTGTTTTATTTTTAATTATATAGAATATTTATAGTAATAGTAATCACGATTTTTAATCAAAATACAATTTAAAATTAATTTTTTTGTTTATTTTAAAGTTAATTAGTTTCATTAAATAAAAATTAATCAATTTCCAATAAATTACAATAATAAATATTAATATTTTTAAAAATCTCTCTTTTTTTTCAATAAAAAATCATCTTAATGTTTTTAAATAGTATTATGTAATTTTTGATATTCATTTTAATTTGAATTATATTTAATGTCAAGATAAATGAAATGATCTGTACAATTAATTCATATGACAATTAATTCATAAATCTGAATTGATTTTATTTTAATATTTTTAATATTATTAATTTATTGATTTATTATTACATTACATATTTATTATAATATATTAATTTTATTGGGAATATTATTAATATATAAAAAGTTTGATACAGTTTTATGTTTAGCTTATAATGCATGTGCCATTAATGAATTTTTAAAAATTTTTTTATTTGATATTTAATGTCTAGAAACAAAAATCTAATAATTACTACTATCTATCTAATGTCTAGAAACAAAAATCTAATAATTACTAAATTTATAATAAATTTTTTTTTTATATTTTATTAAGAAAATTAACATGGGAAGTTATTTTAATACATAAATTAAATATGAATATAATTTATTGATGTTTTCACTCTGATGTAAATAATGAATATATTGACTAGATTCAAATTCTTGTATATTATAATTATTATTATTATTATATTGTATACAAGTCATAAATTAATATAATTTAATAGTTTTAAAATTTTATTTTTATAAGTTAATATTTTTATATAATTATTCCAGATTTCTAAATTCAAAGTAATTTCAAAATAATGTAAAAAATAATGTAAAATAAAAATAATTCATAATGTAAAAAATCTTGAGATGAATTATAAAGCTATGAAGACAAAAATATATAGTGTTTCAAAATCATTAAAATAATTTTAATTTGAATTTTTTTAAAAAATTTTATTTTTGTAACTTTTTGCAAAATTGAATTTTTGTTTAAAATATTTCTTCACTAAATTAACGAAAAAATAATTACAATAAATATTCCTTATATACCAAAATTGAACATAAATTTTAATTCTTCATTTTGTTACAGCTGAAATGGGAGCAGATTTTAATATTTTGGAATATGCAGATCCCGAATTAGACAACATTACTGGTGGTGAGAAAACAAATATACTTGATTTAGATTTAGAACAAGTTGAAGTAGAGACAAAGGATGAAAAACAAAAGAAGGAGGTTAAGGATGAAGAACGAAAATCGACAGAATTAAATGTAACGAATGCGGTGCACACTGACATAAGTGACACGTGTACGACAACTACAGTACAAACACCAACAGAGACATCTAATGCTCCAACACAAGCACAAACAGTAACACCTATTACTGCAACATCACAAACATCACAACAGTCATCTACGATTATGCCTCAATCACATGCTCAAGCAGTTGTTGTACAACAACAAATGCATCAGCATGTGCAGCAAGCTGCAGCAATGGGTAGGCCAATGCCTCCAGGAACTCGCTTGCTTTCGCCTGATGGAGCAGTTGGTGTTGTTACATCAACTAACACTGTTACAGTCAGTTATCCATCTACATTTCCTGGACATGCTCAGAGAATACCACAAACACATATCCAAGGTATGTATATTAAAATATATTCACAATCGCATAATTCTATAACACTCTAAATAACTTATCTTAAATACTGTTTCTAACTTAAATTTATTATTACAGTATCACAGCAACAACGTCTTGGTATGAGAGTAACAGGTGTACCAAATGTTGCTGGTAGAGTGGTTGCTGTAAATCATATGATTGGCCCTCGAATGCCTCTTGCACCACCACCTCCACCACCACCGCCTCCATATCCTGGACCACCACCCCCTTATCCTGGACCAATACAGGTTTGTATATGTTAGACATATTCTTGATGTTCTAATGTTTTTGCATCGCTTTAATCTTGCGTATTTTTTATGCAATTATATCTAATAACACTTTCTTCTAACCACAAAAATACTAAATATCTCGCAATCAATAATGATCGCTTTTCAAAAAATATAACACAAATTACAAAATCAATCTTTGATTTTATAATAAAAATTAAATATCATAATCTTAATTTATTATATATTAGATTAATTTATTATTTACAATTATTTTTATGATTTTTATACAATATATATTTTTTTATGTGTATATATATATATATATATATATATATATTCTTCTATGTGTATATATATATATATATATTCTTTGATACATTTATTAATATACTATATAATTCAATATAAATTGATATACAGTTACGCGGATATTGTATTTTTAATGTCAAATAATTATTTTTAATTTTGTAATTTTATAGTATCTTGAATTTTATCATAAGTGTATAATATAAAGTATCAAATTTTATTAAGTATAATAACAAATAAGAATAGGAAATCTCAAATTTGTTATGAATGTAGGATGTAGGCAAGTAATTTAATATAAAAGTATATAAAAGTATTGGCTGGTAAAATGATGTTTTCGCCTGGGTGTTTGCAATGCATTGGTGTTGGTGCATGTCTAGATGGGGCTGTGTCCAGGTGGGCGGGGTATGACGCGGCCCCCAATCCATATAGGGCACCCAGTACCGGTGGCGGGTCCACCAATGGTCCCTGTGGTACATACTGGTACGCCCGCAATGACACCTCACCCTCACCGAAGACCCTTGCTTCTGCAGGTGAGCAAGACTTGGGGACTTTTCAGCATTCAATATAATATCACCTGCAATGATATTAAAATTCAAAAATTTTACTATATAAATTATTTTTAGTATTTTTGCACCATTTTTATTTTGTTGCTGATAAAAATAATATTATTTTTCAAACAATAAACATCAAATCATATTAATATCTAAAATAAATTTTTGTTATATATAATATTGAAAGTTAAAATGGAAATTTTTTTATTATTAATACTATTTTTCTATTTTATTTTTTGATGTAGATATTAATATTTTAAAAATATATATCTTTTATAATCTACATATTTATTAAAAATATTTCTTTCTACATTACTTTTAATAAAATTATAATATAATTATTCTTATTATTTAATTTTTATTATTAAATAATTTATTAATAATATTTTGTTCTTTATATATTGTATTAATAATAATAATAATATAAATCTATATCACACTAGAAATAAAATAAATTTAAAAAATAAAGAATGTTTTCAAATAATTTTTGTTTCCAAAATAAAAATTATAATGGATTTTTTATACAATTATTATATAATATATATTGTTAATAAAAAATGTTGCATTTTTATGTGTGCATGTGTGTTTTAAATAGAAAATATTAGGCTTCAAAGATTGTGTATTAATTTGCTTCATTATAGTTACAAATTTATGTTCATATTTTATATAAACATCATTTTATCTAAATAATATTTATGTTAATAATTGTTAGGAATAAAATATTTGCATGTTTGTATTATTTTTTTCATTTATTGGGATAATTAGTGTGTCTTGTTTCAATATGTAATTAATGATAAAATAATGATAATGATAAAATATAAAATATTATGATATAGAAATTTAGTACATATATAATTATATATCACTTTTTAATCTTTTCATTGAAACACATAAATTTTTCCATAATATTTCATAAATTGGTTGGAGATTTGTTAAGCTGTCAGTAGTGGTGTTTACAGGAACAACCATTATTGTTGGAAGAATTATTGGAGCAAGAAAAACGAGAACAAGAAAAGCAGCAGCAACAGCAGCAGCAGCAACAACAACAACAACAACAACAACAACAACAACAAAGTGATACTACAACTCCCGGAGGATCCCTTCTAAGTGACAGTGAGTTTGAACAATTTAATGCAGATGTTTTGGGTTCTGCACCCCTTGCTTCTCCTCCACAAGGAATTACATCAGTACCTGGAGGAGTTCCTGTAATTAGGCCATCTTGTACATCAAGCCCACCATCCGCTCCAGGTACCAATTGGCAGCAAGCAATACCGGATGCGACGAAACTAACAACTCAGGTGCCTAGACAACCAATTGCAACTCAGACACCACCAGAACGTTAGTATTGTGAACATTTTATATGAAATATATTATACACATAATGTGATAATGAATAAAATATAAAATTAAAATAATATAAAATCAAAATAAAATTTTTTTATAGCAAGGGTTGCCACATTTAATATCTCCCAGATTCCTGCTCCGCCTACACCTCCGGAAAATATTGTGAATGAACAGGATCGCCAGATACAACTGCAGTACGAGCAATGGTTAAATCATCAGCATCAAGTGTTGACACAACAGTTGAAGTATTACGAAACTGAGGTACAAAAGCTGCGTAAAATACGAAAAGTAAGGATAGAATGTTTTTATGTTGCGGCGTTTTCGTTTTTCTGGCATTTTAAACCATACAGGCATATTACAGTTAAATTATTCTGATTTTACAGTCTCTCAATAGCAAACAACGACAATTACGAAAATCCGGCAACGAATTGGCAGAAAATGATGCGGCTGAATTACAACGTATTTCCAGTGAGCAAGCAATATTGCAAAAACAGCTAGATGCAAGTCGCAAACAAACTCGTCAACATGGCATGCTAATACAGGAATATCAAAGTAAACAGCAACAAAGACAACCTCAACAACAAAGCAGCGAACCATGTTCACCACTGATGTCGCCTTCTCAACATTCACCGATGCATAGTCCTGCTGCACTTGTTTCACAAAGTCCAGGCCCTGGAAACGTTCCAACAAATATAATACAACATTCACCGGCAACTCCTATCATTCAACATAGTCCTAATACACCTTTATTACAACACAGTCCTGGTAATCCGCAATCAGGAAATCCAGGGACAATATCACCTCATAACATGCAACAGTCACCAAGAATTGGCACTCCACATTCACAGAACGAAGAAAGTCCTTTTAGTCCTGGTGCTATGCCCTCACCAGGAATATGTGGTCCTTCAGCTGCTCGAATGACGTCTCCACAGCATCGTGCGATTATTAGTGGAAGACTTGCAACTAGTCCAGGTGCTTTTACTCCGGATACGCGAAATACACAACAAATTATCGGAGATCAAGGAGTTAGAGTCCATAGTCTCACTCAACGTTTTGTCCGTCCACCTGCTGTAGTAGAACCTGGACAAAGGCCCAAAATGCAGTTACAAGGAGGGATCGTATACGGACAACGTTCCCCTCTTGGGAGTCCACAACCTAATCAACAGTCATTAATGAATCAACAGCATCAACAGATGCTTCAGAGACAACAGATCTCACATCAAATTCAACAACAGCACGATACTACAATTCTTCAAGATGGACAAAATGCAATGACTCAACGTACGTTGCAAATGGCACAACAAAGACAACAATTGCTACAACAACAACAGCAACAGCAACAAATAGTTCAACAACAGAGACAACAATTTTTACAAATGCAACAACAGCAACAGCAGCAGCAACAACAGCAACAACTTATGCAAAAACCTCCAAGTTCTCCAATGGTAGTTCAACCTGCCAATTCTCCAAGTCCGCAACTTCATCAACAAATGCAACAGAATTATGGACAACCTCCAAGTTCTCCTATGCCTCGTAGTCCTATGGTTCAACAAACCATGGGATCACCTATGTTGCAACAACAATTAAATCAAACTTCGCAACCTCCCAGTCCTATGAATACTAGAATTCATCCTCATCCACCGAATTCACCAATGATATCACAATATCAACCACCAAGTCCGATGTCACGTAATCATCCTTCGACATCTCCTATGCTTCAACATCAATTAAACAACGCACATCATCCTCCAACGTCACAACCACCTAGCTCTCCTATGCCACGTAGCCCAATGGTTGGAGGTTCGCCTATGCAAATGCAAAGAAGACAATCTACTGGAAATAGTCCAGCAATGCCAGATCGACCACAAAGTGTAGAAAATCCAGGAACACCAAGAACACCACATACCCCTCATACGCCACATGCGTCACATGGTTCTTATACAAATCAAACTTCAAATAATCATGCAGTACCAAATGATCAACAGCAACAATTGCAACAATCACATCAACATCAACAACAGTCTATTACACAGGAACAGCCAACTGCAACAGATCACACAAATAGAGGTGGAGGAAATCCTCATAATCCACTAAATCCATTGCCCTTTGGGCGATTTGGGTATATTAAGCTTGGATTAAGAGGCGGTTCTCCTATGTGGTCTACAAAAGCAGAGACCAGCAAAGGAAAAACTTCTGAATCGCATCTTTTAAACATAGATGAAAAACCAAACACATCTGTAGTTGTTCATAGAAAAACTGGCATACCGCAGTCAAAAATTAATTCTTTAGTATGTGCAGATTATAATGATTTTGATGATGACTCACATACGCCACCTCAAACTCCACCAACAAGTTTAGAAATCAAACAAACCACTTCATTATCTGATAATGGGCCTTTAACATTGGGTAGTCCTAGTAATAAAATGGAACCCATACCTGATACTACTGATTATGACGATGATAAAACTATTGTAAATACAGAGGTGACTCTAAGTTCGACAGCTCAACGAGATAGTGATGATATTACTGTTATAGACCAGTTTGGAGATTCCGAATTGGTCGATGTGATATCAGGAACATTGGAAAGTGACATGCAAGAGGAGTATGTGCTTTTCGAGCCTGGAATGGTCGTAGATTTATCAGCAGATAGTAATGATTCGCTTTGTCATGCATTGGTTAATGAAAGTAGTCAAGGACACGACTTAGTGCAAATATTACAAATAGAAAATCCTGAATCTCAGACGGATGAACCAATATTAAGTGATGAAGATTTAGTGCCCTCCCATACAAGAAATAAAAAAGGTTTAAGATTAGACATAGTAAGGACATTACAATCAGGAAAAAGACTCGTAGCTGTTACAGATACTCCGGAATCGCCTGATCAAGAAGAACTTCGCGTAAATCCATCACCTGGATCTTATATGGATCAATCACCTGAGCAAGATCTCATGGTGTCTTTTGTTAGTGCATCTGAAGTAGTAATTATTGATCCTAGTACAAAATCACCTGAAGATAATTTATCCAAAGAATCATGCACAGAAGAAGTAGAAAAAACAGATATGATTAATGTTTCCGAATCATCAAAAGAAAATACTGTCACGGAAAATGCTAGTGAAGATCAATCAAAATCACAAAAAGAATTGAAGTCAAATAGGAGTCCTACATCATTTTTGTTCTCAGATAAAGTTCTTTATAATCAAATTTCATCATCAAATATTCATCATGCTAACATTAATGTATCATCTACATGTAGGTCTACAGTTTCTTTGTCATCCTGTGCAAATACAACTATTAATACTAATAATACAAATGCTATTGCTACTTCTACTAGTGTATTGATAGTGACTGATACAACTATTAAATCAACTCCAATTTTTACAACTTTAAGCATAACGAAAGAAACGGTATCTTCTTCTTTTAATAATCAAAAACAACTACCATCAACAATGGCAAGTATAGTGGCTGATGCCAAAATTGCTGCTAAACTCAGTCAAACAGCTTTGGAGAACATTATAGTTAGTTCACAGCAAAGTATTACAAAGATAGAATCATTATCCAAAATTACTTCATCAAATACAGAAATTTCTAAACCTCAAGTTACAATTTCAGAAAAAATCATAACATCAGTATCTAATTTACAGAATGAATTCACTAGTTTTGTACAAAGTACTGCTACAAGTACAATGGAAATATTAAATAATCCTACAAAATTAATATTAAGTGTGCAACCAACATCTGTCACATTATCAACACCCAAAATGTCCATACTTGATCTTCCTAAAAAGGAAAGTGAAAATAATTCTGTTACAATAACAAAAGAAAATCAATTAGAAATTTTAAATAAAAATGTGAAAATTAAAAATGAAAAAGATGAACCTGACCATTCAGCAAAAAATTCAGAGGAATCAAATGTAAATACTTTAAATGTCAATGTAACTACAAGTATAGCTGTGAATCAAGAATTAACTTCATCTGATGATAAGAAGAATGATCCTTTGAATACTACTGATGAATTAGAAAGTATGCTTGAAGCAATCCACAATCCTGCTGAAAACACTATAAATAGAGAGAATTCTCATTCAGAAAATAAGACAGATACTGCTTCTTCATTGAAGAGGATATTTCCAGTTACAGATGATTTATCATTAGTAAATATTTTAGAAAATGATTCGGAATCAATTGAAAATGAAAATAAAGAAGAAAATGTAACTTCTGAACCTCAAAGAATGAATATTAAATCAAAAGAAATTGAAACTAACATTGTAGAAAATACTAATTTAAATACTTCTCAAAAAGAAAAAAAACACAATGAATTATGTACAGAAATTGAAACTAGTAAATCTTATATACAGCATTGTCTCAATGAAGAAAAGAGTATACTGGAAGAATCATCTGATGATATATTAGATATGTTACATAATATCATATCCTCTAAGCCAGAAATGGCTAACAGTGAAATGCTTCAAGAAGACAGATCCAGAAAATCAAGTATGATGTATGAATTACCAACACCTTTAGATACTTTGCCTCTAAATATTCTTCAAGATTCTTTAATGGATCTAGATCAAGAACACTCAGATAATGAACATCTCTTATCAAATGAAAAAGAACCAAAAATACGATCAGCCAATTCACCTTCTGTAGAATCTGCCCCTAAGAAAAGCTCGCCAATTCCACATCAAAGTACTCCTTTAGTAGTGAGTACTATAGCACAGTTGCAGAAATGTACGACTACAGTGCCTCATCTCTCTCCTCTATCAAAACCGACAGAATTAACGTCCAATGTTGCAAATGTATCACATCAGTTGAGAACATTACTTTCTTCTTTACAAACAAATCATTCAAACTGTACAACTATAAATCAAACCGCCATCGTCACTATGGTGTCCTCAGCGATCTCAGGATCAAAAGTAGGGAACATACTGTCTACAACCAGTACATCCTCACCAAACTCTGTAAATAATATTCATAATAGTACAAACGTACGACTGCAGACTTCTATTACCACGTCTCATTCTACAATTACAAGTAAACCTGAATTAGAAAATACGACAACCAGTTATATCCCACATACGAAAGAAAGTACAAATTCTACAGTAAGCGTTGTTTCTACTTTAACTAAGGTTACACCTTCGGAATCATTTTTACGAGTCACTTCTAGCGGAGTACAGTCGCAAGCTAATAGTAGTAGTCTGTCCCTACAAACATCATCTGTGATCACTCCCAGGCCACCAACAAATTCAGGTATCTCGATTACGTCAAATGCAATGCTAAATGCAATGTTGTCTGGTACAAATTCGGCAAAATCTTCAATTGCTGGTCTTCGAACGAATACTGCTCCTACACAAGCTGGTAACTTATTGAGTTCAGTAGTAGCAACTTCTGTACAACGTACACAAAGTTTACAAGCTATTCTACAAGTAAGTTCAAGCTGTTCTTCGGCACCTTCTCGTATGGTTGTAAACTCCACATCGACAACAGCCACAACATCCATGCAATGTGTCAAAACCATTGTACCTCCAATAGTGACTGCAAGCACTAACAGCATTAGTATTACTACTAGCATACTTCAGTCTACTTTGTCTCAAACACCAACTCTTTTGCATTCTCAGCTTTCTGGTCAAGGTCAATATAAATCAACCAGTCATTTGCCACTAGACAATAAAAGTGTTGATCTTGAGAGACTGGCACAAAGCACACCATCTAAAAAGGAGTCAGAAGAATCTAACTGCAAATCTCAATCAGTGCTGGAAAAATCATCAACAACTAGATCTGAATTGGAAATGAATAAAAATTCTACTCATAGAATGGAGGAATCGCAAAATGTATTGTTGAAACAATTGCTCCAAAATACTGCATGTGCAACAACTACATTGTGCTCCAGTTCTTCACAAGGTCCTAGTTTGCCATTAGTACCATCCTTAGAAGCACAATTAGCAAGACCAGTACCTCCCACTCCTTTCTCTGTTTTACCACCTTTATTGAATGAAGTACCAACACCTAAAACTACTAGTAATAAGCAAGTTTTAAACAGAGAGACATCATTCTTATCTCAATCAGTAATACCTTTGAAAGTGCAAAGTCCACCAACCAAAGAAGAACCACCGAAACCACCACCGCCATTAACAACTTCTGCACCAGTTTTATCTCAGCAACTTATGGCTGATTCGTTTCCAAAACAACAAATAACTACACAATCTACGAAAACCACTCTTGTTTTAACTCAAACAAATCAACAGCCAACGATAACAATGACCAAGCAAATTCCGCTTACGACAAAAACTTTAGAAACTACAACTTCTATAAAACAAGAATCAACTACTATTAATCAGTCACCTGCGAAGTCTGTGAGTGATGCCGTTATTAGTAATACTGTTCCAATCCAAAAACAATGTGTATCAACTCCTATAACTGTGTCACGAGTAGTATCACAAACAAAACCAGTAATTACAACTGTGACAAGTAAAAGTATTCAATCCACAACACAAGTATCTAGTACTATTCAAGTGACACAACAATCATTAACGACTATTACAACCGTGCAGCCACCATCATCACAACAAACGCAAGCACAGACTCAACCTCAAATACCAGTTACCCCAAAATCCATTATCTCGACTCAGCAACAACCCCCTCATGTAAACACAATACCGCCATCAGTGCCTCATACGGTGTCTCACACAGTGGGTCACCAAGCCCAGGCGTCACAGGGTGCAAATGCACAACACACAGTGCCTTTAGTGGAAGTCAAAAAGGAAGTACTTGATGAAGTTCTATCTAGTGGTACACCTACCCAATTAACCGATACCAAAGACTTTGTTACTGCCAAAGAGGAGCTTATTGATGGATCGATTGATGATAAAACTGGTATGTAATATATAAATATATAAATATTACATAAATAAAATAATTTAAATATAAATTAAAAATTTTAAACTTATGCATTATATTATAATATTCATATTATATGTAAATATAGATGTTGATTATTATTAATATATACTTATCTTTATAAATTATATGTAATATAATATATAAATTTCATGAATTTAATTCTTTATTTCTGATAATATTATTTAATAATTTTCTATATAAGATATATCTAAAAATAAAAATTTATTTAACTAAGAATAATAAATTTGTTAGAATAATAAATATAATGTATTATTACTTGTATAAAAATAAGAATATAGTTTGCTTAAGTGCATATATAATTTTATCTTTGTAGATCTCAAGAAAATGAAAAGGCGACAGTATCAACAGAAACGGAAGCAAAGCCAGGGAAAGGACGCGACGGCAGCAACTCAAAAAAAGCGTGCTAGGAAAGTATCCCGTTTAGACGAGGATTATGACACGTTCATTGACAATTTAATGGCACAATTACGACAGCTTCAACCAATGGCAGTATTAGAACCACTTCTAGGTAGAAATTATGGCGTTTGTCCTATCTTTGGCTCGGGAGACCTGTCGAAAATCAGTAGTCAGAAGGATTATAATACCAGGACAGGTGATTTAATCGGTTCATATGGATCTGCTACATTACCAGGTGTATCTGATCATTATAATACTCAACCGTTTGGTGAATTGGAACCTTTACCACCTCAACAACCCGCTTCTACTCAAAGAGGATTTTATGATCAAGAATTTCCACCTCTTAAATTGGACGATTGTAAGTATTTCTATAAAAATGAAAGAAAGAAATGGATTTGGAAAATGCTTTAATATATTAAATATTGAAATAAACTCTATTTAAAAACTGTTAATAATAATAATATTTTCTTTATGATCCTATAAAATTAACATATAAAATTAATTGTAAATATTACATTTTAATGAAGTAAATAAATAGTATAAGAAATAGTATAAAGAAAAAATTTTTTGCAATTTCACATAATATTTCATATTGTTGCCGATTGTTTAATACAAAAAAATTATTGTAACTCATAGTTAGTGAATTTTAATATAAAAATTATTAATATTTAATATAATGGTTTTTAATATGCTTAAAACAAACGAAAACAAATGTGTGATTTGAGTCCATTTTTTCTTCAGTTTCTATTATAATTTATTTTATTTCTTGTAGATAGAAATCTAATAATAATATAAATATTAAATTTTTAGCCGACGATAAAAAAGAGAATTCCTTATCAATGAATCGCGATGTGGATTCCCCTGATACAATAGTCAGTTCATCTTCACCAGAATGCGTTATTCCAGAATTTATACATCGATTTCCTGGTTTAAGATTGATAGAAGAAGAATCGGATGAGGAATCAGATTGGTTGAAAAGAGTATCACCTGTAATACCTTTAATATCACCGATACCAATTAGATTAAAACCAACTTATATCGGTAAAGATATCGCCAAACAGGATAAAGAGAATTTAGGAATACCACGGTATGAAACAAAATTTTTTTTTCATATTCATATATATATATCTTATGTAAACTGAAAATATTTTTAATAATTTAAATAGACTTGGAAAATCACCTCCAATACCTTTAAGAGATGGCAATGTAACAGTTACATTAACATTGAATAGTCAGGCTGCAGATGACATAATGGGAGTACTTAAAGATTTGGCTAATATTTTAAATATTGCTCCTCCCACTGGTTACCAGATAGTAGAACGTACTACTACTCCCCCTAGTCAAAAATTAGGTCTTTATAGAATCAAGGGAAAAGATGGTAAAGAGGGAGGTGTGTATTTTTATCCCATAAAAATAACTAAGAAAGGTTTTTATTTATTTATTTACTTTTTTATTACAAACGAGTAAAAGATATTATAATATATATCTAAATTTTCAGCTCCAATTGATATACAAAGTATTTTAAATGGCGCCGCGAAATTCTGTCGTCATTGCGATGTTGTGATATTGAATAGCTTGATAAGAAAGAAAGTATCTGATTTACCATTTTTAAGCAAAGAAGAGGCTGAACCCGGCGATGAGTTATGTTTCTGTTCAGCAGCCTGTTACATGCAATTTGCTCTCATGCATAGAACACCTTTGAATACACAAGATAAGGTAATCATATTATATATTATGTAATAATATTATATATTATAAAATATTTAATATATAAAATATATATTTAATATATATAATATATTTGTTGAATATCTTTAGAGAATCAATTAATTATTTATTATGTTAAATAATTTAAGTTAGTGTTAGTTAAAATGAAAGCGAAACAGAATGAGATAATAGTGTGGAGATGTTATTTTCTACTCTATTTTATTTTCCTTTCATTTTATTTAATTCAAACAAATTGCTTAAATAAATAAATAAATAAGTAAATCTTAAACAATTTTGTATAATTTTATATAAACAATTTAATATATTTTTTTTATTAGGCTGCAACAATAGTAGACCACCTATGTCATAACAAGATAGATACTAAGGTATTGGATGACGATTTCAAAAAAGGGAAAAAATATGTGATCAAACAACCGATTGATCATATTGAAAGTATGGAAGTCGATCAAACAGAAAAGGAAACAGAAATTAAGATAAAAACAGAAAAAGAAGAACATGATATTTTTGAGGCAAAGGAAGAAATCACAGAAGAAAAACGGGCAAAAAAACATTCAGTCACAGAAGAATCTCTAACTGAATTGACTGAACCACAACCACCTGCGAAAGTATGGAGAGGTTTACGATATAAGACGTGGTCTGTTGGCTTAATGCAACCTACAACAAAATACAAAAAACCAACAGACAAAGAAATCACGGAGGTATGAATAAAAATACTTTTAAAAATAACATTTAAATATATATAATATTTAAATAAGATTTATAATATAAAAGAAAAAATATATTTATAAAATTTTTTTATAGATGCTTTTCCGTATGGGAGTAACCGTAATACCTGCTAAGGCGGAAGATAGTCGACGATGCATGTTTTGTCACAGTCAAGGTGATGGTACAGCCGATGGTCCTGCTAGATTACTTAATTTTGACGTTGACAAATGGGTGCATTTAAATTGTGCTCTTTGGTCGGAAAATGTATATGAAACTGTAAATGGTGCCTTGATGAATCTCGATACTGCTTTGCAACATAGTCTTGTATTAAATTGTATTGTTTGCGAGAAACCAGGAGCTACTGTAAAATGTTTTAAAATGCGCTGTACTAATGTATACCATCTTGGCTGCGCTGTTAAAGATGGCTGTGTTTTTTATAAAAATAAGGTAAAGATCATCATATATTAAATACCAATATTATATTATATATTAAATACCAAATTCAAAGAATTTAATATTTAATACATTTATTATAATAAATGTATTATTTTATTTTAGAGTACCTATTGTTCTCAACATGTACAAAAAAACGAAAAAGATAACGAACTAACTACACTTTCCGTCTATAGAAGAGTGTATGTCAATCGTGACGAGAATAGACAAGTTGCAGCTGTGATGCATCATTCGGAACATAATCATCTGCTTAGAGTCGGAAGTCTGATATTTTTAAGTGTCGGACAACTGCTCCCACACCAGCTCGCCAATTTCCACACACCAAATTATATATATCCAGTTGGATACAAAATTGTCAGATTTTATTGGAGTATGAGACGGCCAAATAAACGCTGCCGATATGTGTGTTCTATCCATGACGTTTCTGGTCGACCCGAATTTCGTGTTCTAGTACAAGAACCTTTACAAGAAGACGTTGAATTGCGTGACGCCACTCCTCGTGCTGTCTGGAGCAGAATCCTTGAACCTCTTGCCGAGTTACGAAGATCGACGCATAGTGTCCAGCTATTTCCGCGTTATGTTTCTGGCGAAGATTTATTTGGACTTACTGAACCAGCGGTCGTTCGTGTTCTCGAAAGTCTTCCAGGCATTGAAACTTTAACCGATTACAGATTTAAATACGGCCGAAATCCCTTATTAGAATTACCGTTAGCGATCAATCCTACTGGCAGCGCGAGAACGGAAGCTCGTTTACGAAATCAACTTCCTTGGAAAAGGCCACACACACAGCGCACAGGTTCTTCAGCTCGAGCAGCCTTCGTTCCAACTGCAACTGTTGCTGGAGAAGTGGCATGTCCTTATTCGAAACAATTTGTTCATTCTAAAAGTTCTCAGTACAAAAAAATGAAGCAAGAGTGGCGGAACAATGTATATTTAGCACGTTCTAAAATCCAAGGTTTAGGATTGTATGCTGCACGTGATTTGGAGAAACATACAATGGTCATTGAATACATTGGAGAAATTATTCGTACTGAATTGGCCGAGACGAGAGAAAAGCAATATGAAGCAAGGGTATGTTTCTATTTGATTTATTATTATATTATCTTACTGTATATTATCTTATCTACAAATTTATGTTACGTTAAAAAACAATATTATAAATAATTTAGTATATAATAATAAAATAGCAATTTATAGTTTATTATATAATTTATAGTTTAAGATATCTTTAATAATTTTATTGTTTTTTTCAATATATATTATATATTGTATTTTTCTATTATATGTATATTCAATTTTGTATTCAATATGTATTATACGTAATATTAAGATAAATAATAATAATTTATTTGTTTATGATATTACAATCGTAATTTAATCTTAATAATAGAAATAAATTTTAGAAACATATTTATTACAGAATCGTGGTATTTATATGTTTCGTTTGGATGAAGAAAGAGTGGTCGATGCAACATTGTGTGGAGGTCTCGCAAGATATATCAATCACTCTTGTAACCCGAATTGTGTCGCTGAAATTGTTGAGGTCGAACGTGATCTTAGAATTATAATCTTTGCAAAACGAAGAATCTCACGTGGCGAGGAGGTACATCTTTTTTTTATTTAACAAATTATTTGTATATAATTGATGTTAAACAAAGAATTCATATTATTGTTTTTTGCAGCTGGCATATGATTACAAATTCGATATTGAAGATGACCAGCACAAGATAGCATGCGCATGTGGCGCGCCTAACTGCCGCAAGTGGATGAACTAAAGCTCGATCCACCGTTGTTATTGTTACTACGTTATTGGGTAGGTTTTACATGAAGAAAAAATTATATATATATATATATATATATACATATAAAAATATATATATATAATAGACACATTATTTAATTTGTAAAGTGCCATTGCAGTTTGACTAATTGATTCATAGTGAAGTTGGTGCTATGCCATCACAACATTCCTCCAAAGTTGTACAATATTAGTTTTACTTTACAAAACATAGAAAAACATTGATCGCTTGTATATTACGGACATTCTTTAAAAACACGACACACATTGCGAAAAAAAAAATTTTATGAGTCGTGTGTATGTATACAGGAAATTTGTATCTTTGTATGTTGAATAGAGTCAACATTTAGTTGACCAATATTGTAATATAAATCGTTTATTAATTATTATTGCATATACATTGCACTGTATCTGTACATAAGTAGAGATCCATGTTATTTTGAATCACCAGATGAATTATGTAAAGTAACAGTATCTAATTTAGAATTATATACAATTATAACTATTTCATTATATGATAATAAATCCGTACAAAATCTACTGATCTATTTCGTTTTTGTAAATACCTTTTTTTGTGAATTTCGATTTATTAGTGTTTAATAGGTAAATTGTATTCATTATTCAATTTCAAATCTTTTATCGTGATAAATATCAACTTTAAATTCTCAGATTATTTATGCTTTTAAATTCAGCAAAAATTTCAAAGAAAAAATATTCTTCCATTGTCAAATAATTTTTTTTGTATAATTTATACATAAATTACAAATTTATGTATACAAATAATGTATATATTATATTTTTATTAAAACTATAAAGATTTTAAAATACTTAACATTAATATAATGCAATCATATAATGTAAAATAGATAAATTTATTCTTTACATTACATATTCATATATATCTATAAATCAAATTTTTAAGATACAATTTTGTACTGTAATATTTCTGATATTGACTTTAATATTTTATTTATCACGTAACAAAAGAAATATTTAAGAAATTGTATATTGCATTTAGTTTGTTTAATTTGTAACAGAAAGAGGTATAAGGAGAATATAATTTAAGGTGAAAAAAAGAACACAAAACGAGAACGGATCATGTTTACAATTTTATTTTCGTAATTGTAAAATAATATTTACAAAGCAATATATATTTCATGTACACAAAGTACATAGTCGTTTTTCAAGTTTCGATTAGTGTATAAGAAAGAAATACAACAAAACTAAAATAATATGTACAATGAATATTTAACTGTAAAAATGTATCACGATTACAAAACAAATATGTCTGATGAAATCTTTGAAACACTTATTAATTATGTAATTAAATAAGAAAAAAGGAAGCAAAAAAGAGTAAAAAACTGGAAAAAATTTCAATAAGCTTTTTGTATTTGTAAATGAAATACGCAAGCATTTGTATGAATGATTTTGAAATAAATCAGAAAAAGAGCAATATGATAAACAGTATGCAAAAATATGCAATAATATACAAAAAAGCGAATAAAAATGTAATCGATGAAAATATATAAGAAAGTAAATGCGAAAAAAAAAAATACATTGTAAGAAAAATGTATTTTTTAAATGCGATTCTTTGGCATTTATGCACGATACAATTATCAGGCGGTCTAAACGTTACAATACACAGTGTGATCTATGTACAATTTAAAAACTATCATCTTAAGCGTAAAAGTAAGTATGAAGACAAGGTATGACGCTTACAAAAAATTTGTGTATACTTTTATCGACGATTCAAATAGCAATATTGCATTTGTAAAATTTGCTATATATAAAAACCAGCTTCCCGCAGATTTTGTAAATTCATACTCAATTGGTATATACTGCGCGGTTAAACATATATTCTTATTGTATATTGTATATTCTTTCTGATGCGATGATTCATCTAGCGAGGATTTTTTAAATATTTTATGTAACAAAAAAAGAAATAATGAGAAAAAAAAAAGAAAAAGCTTTAATACGTTGAGCGATATTTTTTGTTTTTAATATATAATACAATTATAATGGCATCCATGCAACTTGTCCTCAACTTCATGTATTATTAAATTTTATAGTTGATAGTGTATTTACGTAAAAATATTTTATTCAATAATTCCTCAACGTAATGCTTAAGTTTCTTTAATAGATATAACAAATGATTTTCAAGAATAGTTTATCATTTAGATACTTTTTTCATATCTTTTCTTCTCAAATTTTATCTTTTTCAGAGATCAATTAGAAAATCTTCGTTAGGTAAGACTTAATCGGTGACATTAGTACCAGTTTGTAATTAAATCTTGAGGCATGTCTTAATTTTAAAAATTAAGTTGTAATAAACTTGTTTGCTGATAATCTGACAATATGACTTTGTTTCTTTAAAAAACTTAATTCAAATTAAATGTTTTATTCAACTTAATTAAAATAAAAGTATTCTATTATGAAAATTTAAATCTTTAATAAATTCTATAATAATGAAAAATAATATTGCAAAATTTTTTAATTCTTTAATTTTTACAATATTTTTCAATATTATGTTAATTTACATCTGACATTTTAACAATTCTTTTAATATTTTTTCTCTTAGTAAAAGAAAATATTTAGTAATATTTAATAAGGTAATAGATAGGAACAAATATGTTCTACCTTTGATAAGTTTTTATTTAAAAAAAAGAATAAATACGTTACTTCAGTGCATGTTGAAATAATTTTGATGATGGTCTGCTTTCTTCATTTATGATGATACTGGCTCAATCCTGTTGCATGCAATAAATTAATAAAATCATTAAATGAATATCAATTAATATATACAATAAAAGTAAAATTCAAACAAATATATTTAAATTAATGATAAGAATATAATAAAATTAATGATAAAGATGAAGAAAAAATAATTATTATTAAGAATTCATTTTTGCATATTAATATTTATAACTAAATTTAAAATCTATACTTAATATCCATAAAGATCCATAACGATTTATTTTTAGATTTGTTTTACAAAATTTAAGTTAAAATCATTTATTATAATTTGTTAAATTAATAAAAGAATCATAATATATAAAGTTCTTATTTTAATTATAATAATTATTGGCAGAAATTTTTAACTTCAGAATGTTTTCTTAAAAAATTTTGAAATTAATCCATTTTTATCTTATATATTTAATATTAAATTTTGAATTTTTGAAAATATCACATATAAAAAATTAAATATTATTTTTAATAAAATTATTTTATCAATATATATTTTATAATGTTCACATATAAGAAATTTTATTGATATGCTAATAATATAATTTTAAATATATGAAATTCAAATACATAAAAAAAATCAAAGAAAATAAAATAAATTGTATAGGATTTATAGATCATACAATTATTAAGAACAATATTAATTTTTTTGTGTAATATTGTTCACAATAATGTCATAACTATACATTATGATAATATTAATAATACATGCAGTTATTTTTTTACAAATATTATAAAAGATAAAATATAATATAAACATAATATATTAATTCTTAAAAATACAATTAATATTGTGTATAGTGTATATTGAAAATACTACGCATGCATAATAAAAATAGGCATTGTACAATATTAATAAGATGCATTCTAAAATGTGAGTACATATATTATATTAATACCTGCTAGTATTTAAAATTCAGGGATTTATATATAAAATTTGCAAACATAATTTGGAGACTGTTATATAATTTGAAGACTGTTTATCTTTATTGCCATTAGCTTTATATAGTTTATAATAATCATTATATTATCCACATATAATACAGTTTTATTTACAAGGAATCTAGTGTACACTATGATTAGATGTAGTGAACAACTTTTTGAGAATAATATAAATGAATGATGTTTAATAAATAGTAAACGGATAATCAAAGCGACTATCTATAATCAAAATACAAAAATAACGAAATAGAGTTTACTCATTTATACTTAAAAATTAATGTATTCATAAATACTGAGCAGCAACATGATTTACAGGAACCATATCTAAAAATGCTAATTCGACTAGTCAATGAACAGATTTATTTTGATAATCCTCTAAAAAAAATTTTATTAGAATGTTTGCAATTTATAATATAAATATTATGCTAAAAAACTAAATTTCATTCAATATAATTCAAAATCATGTATTTTGATTTCTTTTTTTTTTTTTTTCTAATTGAAAAATATGAAATTAATAGGTTCTAATACTGCTTTTCCAAGAGTATAGAATATCGCTTGATTAAATTCAGACTATTAGCATAAAATAATTACGTAACACTTGTATGTGCTTTTTAATCGATAACGAAGTTTTTTCTTTTATATTATTATATTTAATAATTATTATTACAACATATTTACAATGTATAAACAGTTCAAAACAATTTTAATTTTTCAAATATATTGGTATATCAAAGGTTAAAGATTTGCTACAGAACATATAAATTTTTATTTTGTACATTTTAATAAATGTTATTTCTTAAAAAACAATTATATTTGAAAAAACATCCAATCTGTTACGTAATACATTCTATGCGAAAAAAACTGTATACATATATATGCATATAATATATACATGTATATATATATATATATATATATATATATATATATATNATATATATATATATATATATACGTTCCTGGAGAGTTTACCTTAAAAAGGCTATATAATAATTTCGATAATTTGCTACTTGTTATGCATCTAAACGTAAAATCGGAATAGATTAGAATAAGATGAGGCCTTACGGTCTTTATTTGCGTTATTTTCAATTAATATCGAGAAACGAAAGATTCGATTTCTCTTATGATTTTTTTTTCTCTTCTTTTTTTTCATTTTTATCATCATCGTTGTTAATTAAACTATCGTAATGATCTAGTTTCTTTATCAACCAATTTACTAAAATTCGTCAAAAACAATAATGCGATCACAGAAAAAACATATATCGATCACCCGCACAAATCAATCGTACAAAACACAAAAAAATTTGGATATGCGGATGAAATGGAATAATACAGAGATACGAATTCGTGATAAATATATCAAATATAAAAATATATCATACATTTACGAATGTAAAATGGCTGATATACAATTTCATCATAACTGAACATAAGTTTTTGAATTGGAATTGCGCGCCTAATTGATTTTTTTTATCCAGTCTTAAATTTTATAATACCTTATCATATTTTAAATTCTTTTCCAATGTATAATTATCTTCATTATAATCAACAAAGTAAAAACTGATATCATGGCAAAAAACGCCATTCTTATAATTTTTCTTTAACTTTTATTTATTTTTATTTTTTTCGTTCTCAATTTATTTCAATTAGAAAATAAATATATCTATTTAAACTTTAAATAAATAATCAACAATATGCAAAATATCTTAGAATTTTGCGAAATATCAATTTTTTTCTAATATATATTAATAATCTATATATAAAAATTATGTTTTCATATATTTCTTCAACTAATAATAAGAAGATTGATACAATAAATAAAAAACAATGGAAGTGATTGATCATGGAAATATATCGATAACAGTCTGTTGTTACATTCTATTCTAGAATAACCACACAAAATCAAAAAAAAAAAAAATATAAGAGAGAAAAAAAAAGGAAATGCATTCAAATAACAGTTTTGAAACTTTTTCAATACTGCAAAAAAAGCGGATATATTACTTTGCATTACCAATTACCACTAAATACCCGATATAACTAAATAGTTAAATATTTATTATAAAATGGTTAGCAGCGAACTGAAAGCGGAAAGCATGAGAAGATGCTTATGTAAGATATTTTTCTTTTTTTTTATACGAAGACAGACACAGTTTAGTATAGCAACAAAGTATCGTACAATTTATTTATTTCGGTGAGATGATTTTACAATTTCGTTTTAAAGTCATTTCTATACAATATATATTATTAATACAGAAAAATTTGATCAAATTTTACAATACATTTAAAAATTATTATATGCTCATTGTCTTTTATACAATAGATACTTAATTTGAAATTAATGGTCACAATATGTCTATTTTTTTCTTTACGATATAGTAAATGATATCATTCAACATTCGAACACCATATGTTTGTTTCTATCCTTTATATTCGTTGAAATATTGTTCTATACATAACTGGTCTTATCTTCAGTCAAGGCACGAATTTTGAATCGGGCCTTGCCAAATTTTTGTCAACGCGTTTACAATCTACTCGGGTATAATTAGTGAACCATTTACACTATATTATTGAGTTAGGTGCGAACCCTGACCCAGTCACCAATTTGACGGTATCGAATGAACGCTTAGAACAGCAGCTTTATATGCTCAATTATATGCAAACTATTGATAATTGATAAATATGGCACTTGAGTAATGATAAATTAATTCAAATATTTTATTTAAAAAAGTAAAATAATATTAAAATAATATTAATAATATTAAGAATTAAATAATAAAAAAGTAGTTTAACAAAGAAAATTAAAATCGCTGCTGTAATTAGAGCACCTTACGAATGCTAGCACTATCGGTATTTTTTTTAATGGTCGCTGATAAATTTACGATTAAATATAGTAAAAGAGAATGGTGAGTACATGATACGATAAAGTACAGTACTTAACAAGTGATGCGTCGGATACATCGTTATTTTTTCATTAATATTCTTTTCTAAATTTCAGTTGTTCCTATTGCCTGCATATGCAGGTCAGATTAGACCACACATGCTGAAAAGACACCCATCACACGTCAACCAATGTCCCCGCCGTAGTCCTGACCATTTAGCAGATTACGGTTGTAAATGGCAGCCCTGTAACTGTACCTATTTATAGCTGGTCGATCAGGAACAGGTGGTGGTACCAATGCAACATCCGAATTCAACAAAGTTCCGCTTCCCTCATCTACCTCGCCAATACTGCTCTCAACTAACGATGGTTCCACTTCCGTAAAAGCCAATCTGGATCGTAATAGGTATGCATATGTTTTATACCTCTTAAGCTGAAATGATAAAGTGACAAAATTTATTTATTAATTTTGAATTATATAAAATAGATTATAAAAATTAAAGAAATTTTGTTATAGAACTCAATTTATTCGAATTCTATTTATAAAAATAAAATTTTAAATAGCACATTATTAATTCAATAATTTAATAATTATAAAAAGAAATTCCAAGAATTTATTTTTATTCCAATATTTTTTATTTTCATATACAATAGATGTTACAATTTTATAAAATTTGAAATATTTAAATTATTATTGAAATTAAATGAATCAATTATTATTATAATGAATTGATGAAATTATATAAATTATTATTTTTCTTATTGAATTTAGATAAAAAAAAATCTAAATATTTTATTTAATATGATTAAATTTTAGAACGGAAAATTCTAAACATTTTTTATTGAACTTCAAATAGAAATAATATTATTTACTGCATTAAAGAATTATATTACTGGAATAATTAAACAATGTGGATAATATAAAAGGAAATTAACTATATTTTAATTTAAAAATGATATAAATAGATTTGTTTTTTAATCAATAGTGAATAGATGTTTACTGGAAATAAAAAGACAATATGAGAAAAAAATATAAGAACTGCACTTTGATATTAAACTTATATAAATGGTTATGAATGGAAAACCATAAAATATACCATAGTGAAAGTATCACGTTCTTCTACTCTTTGCAAATTTTGTTTTTCTCATTGAATGTTAAGTAACTTGCTCCGATTCGATAAAACATGAGATCCATAGAGTATAGGAAATGCAAAACAATTTTATTGCATAATAAGAATTTACTTCTACATCTCACTTACTGAAACATCAAATTAATTAAACTATAATCACAGATTTCTTTTAAATAATATTATAAATTCCAATTTTCTTTTTTTTCTTTTCTTTTAAATACATACATATAAAATAATATTTATTATTTATTATTATATATTACCTCATGATGTAAATAAGCATCTTTTTCCTTATAATTCTGTACAGTAAGAGCTTTAGCTCCTCTCTCAGGCGGATGTCGTCTGTGCTCTTCCAATTCAGCTTCCAATTTGCTCACTCTCTCCTCATGGTCCCGTAATTGTTCTCTCTGATAACATGTCAAAAAAATCCAACAAATTATCATTATTACGCAATCTTCTTGAGAAGAAAAAAAAATCAACGAAACAAAATCTATCTTTCTACTTTGTTCATTTAAATTGGTATATTTTAATACGTTTGTACACTACATTCCGACGGTTCTAATTCTGGTGTCCGTATCTCGAATACGAGAACTTAGAGAACGGAGTTCGCTTCGGGAATAGTGGAGGAAGGCTTGCAAATAAAGAAACAATGAAGACAGATTATATTCGTTTGCGTGACCGAGCAGAAGAAACCACTTTTTTTAATCTTTTTTATCTTGTGAACATTACTTACAGGAGATAATTTCGTGTGGCTGCACGGAAGCAGAGGTCGTTGAAACTTTCGCTGTGAACCAACAGCGCCTGCTAATGGTTGACAAGAAAAACTGGCACACACGAAATTAATCGTGTCAATCCACGATTGCAATTCTTTGGAATCACTGAAAATTCATCTTATAATTTTAATCACTTATAATGAACAAAATTATACAATTAATAAAAAAATAAATGATATATTAAAAATATAATAACATTATAAAATATATATGCGATATATTTAAATTCAGAATCAATCTAATTTATTATCTCTAAGTTATTAAATGTAACTTTAATACATTCTAAAAAATTAAAATATTTAAATAAAAAAAAATTGAATTGCATTGAATTTCTGATATTTTAATAATATATATAATATATTAATAATTATATAATATATTAATATAATAATTTTCTTTTTATATTTATATGTTTTATGAACAATATTTTATATTAATTAATTTATTATTAATTTAATTTTATATATAATTTTATTTAATATAAAAAGTGAAACTTTGTTTTAATCATAATAAAAAATGCAAGTCATTATATACATAAACTTGAATATCACATTCATTAATGCCACTACTTTTAATTTAAACTCTTTAATTCTTGGTATATTTTTTTTTTTCATTTAATATAATATATATTATAATTAATAATGTAATATAAAAAATAATAACATAATAATAATATTGTAACTACTATAATATTATATTTTACACAATTTTAAAAAAACCAATGATTAATAAAAAATATTTTTATTATAATTACCTTGTTTGGAAAAGATACTCTGCTTGATCAGCAGTCTGTAACCTAAACACATGTTCCTTCTTCGTATAGTCAGATGCTTTAGTAGCTAACGCATGATGAATGCGTATCGCGTTATGCAAACTATCATTACGGAAGCCATGTTCGTCTTTATGCAAGTATAATACAAGTTCCCTCAATGTACAATAATACATCTTCCAACCACGTTTCCCAAATGGTGCTGAAAAGATTTAAAAATATTGATATTTTATTATAATATAATATATTACACATATTGTTAATTAAATATATTATTATTGATAAAATATTTCTAAACAAGTTTATATTTAGAAATATATTATGATTATTAATATTAATTTTGAAAATAAAATTTTATAATTTATCTAAAAGAATTATAAAATAAAATTTATAATCAACTAATAATTGAGGAAAAAATACTAATCAAATAAAATTGAATTCAATGTATTAGATAACTAAAATTAATTTTGAATTGATTAAATGTTTTATATGGAATTCATTTTTAATTATTTAATTATAATTTTAATGAATTAATTAATACTTATTTTTATTTATTTGATATAATAAATCCATTTATATATATACTTTTTTCAAAATAATTTGATGCTGTTTTATCATTATAATCTCTACATAATATTAATAATTATTGATAAAATTGTCATAAAACAGAAAAGTATTTGAATTTAAAATTACTTATTAGAAACAAATAAATCTAAAAACACCAAATTAATTATAGTTTAAATAATTGTAATAATCGTAATAATGTAAGTAACAATTGTAAATAATTGTAATCTATATGTAAATTAAATATCAATAGAATCATAAAATATATACTTTTCTTTCCATTGGAATCGAAGCAACATTTCCGCATAACATATCCCTTTTTGAACTCCGTAGCACCTGTAACATTTGGCACATCAAGAAATGGATTTCCGGTACCCGATATTGCTGGACCGTCACCCTGTTGGATTGCCTGATTCGCAGTTTCATCCCCTTCCTCATCTCTAAACAATAAAAAATTTTCATATCCATAAACAATTTACGAATATAATTCAATTATTTATAATATTTTCATCATAATTATAATTCATATAATTAAAAATATATAAATTTTTTGTCTTTTTATTCTTCATTTTTTAAGTATTATCAGTTCTATCAATTAAAATTATGAAAATATAATCTTTGTTTGTACATTGTTTAAATTTAGAATTTTATTTAAATATTTAAAAATATTAAAAATAAAAATTAGAATTATATAAATTATAAATTACATACTTAAAATTCAAAATAAAAATTACAAAGATGTGTAAGATGCACGCACGCGCGCACTACCTACTTCCTCCCACATACACAAAACAAATATCAACAAACAAATCACAACAAAAATCACAACAAAAAATAACACAATATTTCATAATTTAATTAAATGTAAGTAATTTTTCTGCAATATATAATAATAAGAAATAAATATTCATATCAATTGCATAATACGTACAATAAATATTGTAATGAATAAAATTTCAATCTATTAAATAAAAATAAATTCTACAATATTTTTTCACTATTCTCAAAAATTAATAAAAATAGTTTTTTCTTATAAATTTTTCAATTTTTTAAAATGTATTATGGGTTAAAAGTTTCAATCATTCAACTTGAAATCATTTTTTCAATTATAATTATAATATCAAATTTTTTTATTAATTTGAAATGAATGCCATAAATATTATGAACAATTTTATTTGTTTTTACGAATTTCCTAAATTAGCAAAATTCTAATCCTTTTTGTTTTAAATTTTTTGATTCTATAGAACATATTAATGAACATGTTCATATTAAATGTTTTGCTAAAAAGTATTATACAGAAATTCGCAAAAAAATGATGCAAAAATTTAAAAAATGCAATCAAACTCACAAGGCCCATTCCAAGGGGAACGATTTAATAGCATTATAGAGCTGTTTTAGCACCTCTCTAGGGAAGTTATCGCCATCGTTCAGTTCCGAGAGGTTTTCGATAAATTCGTTACACGACATCTTTCTACCAATATTTTGACCATGGAGATCGGTATTGAGCAGCATTATAGCACAAGTTAAAGTATGAACAGCATCTGAAATAAATACAATAAACAACGAGTATAATATTAGACCATTAGTAGAAATATGTCATAATTATAATATCATTGTATGATAATAATGAATTCATTGTGGTAAAATTAGTATGTTTAATAAAATATATTTGCATATTAATTACTTTTAAAATAGTTTTCTTCGAAATCATGTTAAATTATTCATTCTTGAAAACAATTTTAAAAATGATTTTATGGAATAGTTTTCATAGTAATCTTTATTTACGTTATTTTTAATACCGTTAATATCAAAATGTCTTATTTTTCTAAATAAAAAAAATCATTATGTGTTATATCTTGTGAATAAAAAAATCATTCTAATTCTATTTCTTTTACTAGCTAAAAATTATAATTCTTTAAAAAAAATTTTAATGATGTTAAGAATAACAAAATAATGATTTTGAAGACCATTGTATAAAACTATTTTTAAAATTGTAAAATTGCAGTAACCGAAATGCTTGGCATTGCATATGTATGATACATATACATATACATAGCTTCTCAAAGGAAAGTAACCATAGTAATGCTAATGCATTTCTCATATATATGGTTTATTTAATAAGTTTGCTAATTTTATTATCAGATCTCATATATATAATTAGATATATTCATAAGGAATATATTTACCCTGAGAATTGAAAGCGCCCGGATTACAATCGAGAAATCTCTTGGAGAAATGTACAAGAACCCTCTCCCTTTCCTGGGTCTCCCCGGTCAAAGAGAACTGGGCAAGGAACTTTCTAAGAGCCACGTCCAGCGTGTCTCGATCGAAGTTGAAGTATCTCAAATATTCTTCGGCTACCGCTCTACTAAAATCGTTGCTGAAACCCAAATGGGATATCCATCATGTTAAACATGTCTCAACCAGTGAGATGCGAATTTCAAACATGATGAAGTAAATTTTGGAATCTAAGAATCTCTTCTATTGCATCATAATATGAAATTTGAAAAGGATGCATATACGAAATTGATACTGGGATATTATAAAAGATTCTTTACGAATATATTATAGTAAAAAAAATTTAAACTAATAACTGATAAAACTGATAAAAACATGATTTTAATTAAGATAGTTTTGACATCATAATACAAATAATATAATATGACTAGGAAGTAATGAAATAATATTTCACTATTATTATTATAATATGCTATTTACATTATGCGAGGAATGTATTTTCGTGGATTATTTCTGAAAAATCGATAAAGATCAAAACAAACGCAAAGGCTAATGTATAAAAATATCGATTTCTATTAATTATAATTTATTTATTAATAATAAGTTATTAGGGCTTATTTATTTAAATAATTCATTATCAATTTAATTCATTACATGAAGAAATAAAATAAAGCAATAGTATAATGGAGAAAAACTATTTTATTATTATTATATTTTATTATTTTATTATATATATTTTATTATATATATATTTCTAAATTTCTATTTTTATTTCAAAGTAATTTTATTTTATTTCTATCTTATTTTATCTAACGTGAATTTATTGCTTATAACTTATATAAATAAACCTTAACTAAAATTTTAATATATTAACTTTTGTATTTGTTTTAATCTCTAAAATTAATTTTCCAAAGATATTTTATTAATATATTAATATAGTCTTCTATTAATATAGAGGAATATATTTTGTATATATATATATCTAAAAATCTTTAAATATTTACTATATTTGAAAAATTAATAAAAATTAAAAAAATCATTATTATATATAAATTTTATATATCATACTATAAAGAGATTAATGTATTATAATATATATTTTATTTAAAATGCATTTCTTGATACTGAAGTTTTATTAACTTTTTTTATAAACTTTTGAACAAAAGTAAAAATATAAATATAAATTGATCAATTAAAAACGAAGTTTTTAATATGCTTGACTAAGCATATAAATGATGATACATTAGTTTTCATTGTTTTCTAATATCATATGTTTTTAGTTAATTGTAAGATATGTTTTATTTACTTTTTCTCATACAATATAAATTTAATTAGCTTGATTATAAAAGTTTTATTCTATATTAAAGTATTATATTCTATATTAATTAATTGAAAATTGCAAATATTTTACAACTTTTTCTATCATTTATTTCATTTCTTGATCTTAATTTTCCGGAGAAACTTCATTTTCATTCAATCAAACTAAAAAATCCTATGAATTTAAGAGATGAATTAAGAAATCGTCACAGTTATTTGCAATATATATAAAATTACAATTATTTTATTTTTCCTCCATCTCTTTTTTTTTCAATCTAACTCTTCAGAGAAAGTTTTACTTTTGTCAGTTAAGTTATAGATTCTATAAATTATAGAGTTACGCAGTATTTGCAATTACTTTTATGCAGAGAAAGTATTACATAACTTTTCAATGCTTTTTGCAATGCTAATTTTTAATAAATGAAAAGGTACATGAAACATTGAAAAGATACAAAAATATCTTATTATAAAAGAAAAAATTAATAGACATTCTAGTTATAAATTATTTTTTTAAAATTAGACAAAAAATATAAAATAATTAAATAATTTTATCTTTATCGAAATATAAAAAATATAAATATATAATAAATAGTAATATATAAAGTGCTAAAAAACAATAATTAATTAAAAATTAATAAAAGATTTTCTTTTGTGTTAAAATATTAATTTCTATATTATAAAAAATTAAGAATAGATAAGTAAAATAATAAAAAAATTTTTTTAATTAATAATTTTTACTTTTTAATAATTTATTTAAAAAAAATGAACATAAAAGAATAATAGAATGAACATAAAAGAATAAAGGAATCATTTTAATTGCAATTAAATCTTACAAAATACAAAATAATACAAAAAGAAAAGTTACAAAATATCTTCAAATTATTCAAAAATTTTCAAATCGTTATTAAATCTTCATCAAAAAGATAAAAATCAAAAAATTTATTCTATACGTAATATTTAAATAATTGATACGAATATGAAATTATTTAAACACATAAAAATATACAATTAAACAAATATTATTATACGTTAAGATATTTAGAGACGTCAGATTTTTTGAAGCCATCTAAGGAATATATTCTTACTGACAAAGATAATCATAATTAAACAAATATTATTATATATTAAGATATTTAAAGACGTCAGACTTTTTGAAACCGTTTAAGAAATATAATCTTTGGCCAGTTAAATGACTCATCCATTGAACAAATCTAACCTAATCATTTAAACTGGTAAAAATCACAATTAAACAAATACTATTATATATTTTTTTTACTAAGATTTGCTATTTAAAAACATCAGACTTTTTGAAATTATCTAAGGAATATAGTTGGCTAGTTGAACGGCTGACAAGTCTATCGAATGGAATCTAATCTGATTTAACCTAATTATCTAAATTGGTAAAAATAATCTTAATTAAATAAATATTACTTACTTTTTGCTAAGATGTCTAGAGACGTCAGATTTTTTGAAGCCGTCTAAGGAGTATAGTCTTTTGGCTAATCGAACGGCTGATGGCAGGTCCACTGCTTTTGGACTATAATGGAAGCTGTGTAGACTTTCGATATCGCTTTCTTCATCTGCAGATTGTGGTGGCGACGCATGCTTATCTTCGTAATTTCCAATATTTAAAGCTTCATTCTCATCTTCGCTCTCTTTCAACTCCTAGAATTTAAAATACATACAATACGAATAAAATATAGAGGAAGAAGAATATTCTATTTTTTCTAAAGTATATTATAACATTGATTTAACTATCAAATTTTGATATCATGATTAAATTCTATCTGAAATTCCATTTCTCAAAAGTAATTTATCTATCTAAAATTTCAATGAAAATTTCCTTTAAGATTTCCATACACGAATAACGAATGAAATGAAATTTTATTAATTCAAATTCATTATATATTTCAACATTTAGATTAAAATTTATTAAAAATTAAAAATGAATAGATGAATGTTAGATTCACAAAATTCAAAATAATTTATGAGATTTCAAAATTCTCGAAATTGGAAACTTGCTAATTTTTTCCCTTCTTTTTCTAAAAAATATCTATTTTATTGAGAAACTGAAGATTTTAATAATTTTTTTTTTTTCAGAAAATTAAATTATTGATTTGAAAAATTGAAATTTTTGGAACTTTAAAGAATTTCTCATATCCTATTTTTATTAATTCCTAAAGATAAGGAAAGATATTAAGATAACTAACTAGTTTTAAAAAAATAACTATGCATTGGAAAGGAATCACAATATTCTATCTATTTATAACTGAAATAAATATCATTAACTTGAAAAATTTAATGATTCGAGCATTTATTATATATTATTTATATATTATTGTTATATACAATGATTCACGAAAATATTTCAATACTTTTTAATAATATATTAATGAACAATTTTTATTTTCAATAAAAGTTCGTAAGTATATAGAACACAATGAAGATAATAAGAAATCAAAATTGGAATGCATTTTCGTTTTTTTAAATATAATTTTATATGGTACAATAGAAATGTTTAGAATTTAGTTCTATCACTTTTTATAAAAAAATTTTAAGAAAATTGTATTCAAAACATGAAAATATAGTTAAATTTTGAGGATTAATTTCATTTCGTCGAAGATTTTTCATCAACAAAAAAAATTAATTTAACTTATTATGCTCTACATACATATAATCTTTAATTAAAATTAAAATTTTCGGGCTACTGTCATTTTTCGTAAACAAATTTATTATATTAATTATATTAATATATATTAATATATTATTAATATATATTATATTTATATAATATTATATTATATATAATATTATATTATATATATATGTATGTAATATATATATATATATATTATTAATATATTATTAATAAATGTAAGAAGAAATTTTCATCATTGAAATTACAAATTAACAATTAATTTTCATTGAACGTACTAAAAAAATGATAAAGTCACAATATAAATGAAAATAGGAATAGATAACTTTCTGACTATTTTTGTAATTTTTTTTATTTTTTATGTTTTTCTAAACATACATATATAAAATAATTGGATCAAAATAAAAAAATTAATCTCGTTTATACATATATCAATATCTGAAATAAATATAAAAAATATGTTTAATATCTATTATTCAATTTTTTTATGATCATCAATTATTTTATTGATATATCTTAAGAAGTATCTAAAATTTAAAAAAAAAATCACGAAATTAAAACATTTATACTCATTTCTGTCACTTATAGCGACAGATTTTATAGCGATTTTGGCATTTTTTAGCCAATATTCAAATTTTTTGAGCCAATAACATTAGCATATTTTAGTAATAAAAAAAATTTATAATACAGAATACTATAATTTCTAACAATTATTTTTTTTTAGAATATTTCTAAAAATTGATAATCTGCAATCGTTACAAATTGATGTTTTCAACAAGTATTGGTCATATAAAAAAAATACTGAAAAATATATTGAAAATTAGCGAAATATTGAAAAATATTCTTTTTGAATATAATTTATTCGCAAGCTTTAAATTATAATGACTATATGATTTTATTATAATGACTATAATCATGAAAGCTTCAAAATCTTGATTTTTAATTGATTTTCTTTCTTACAAATAACATTTCTCATAAAAAATATTTATCTTATAACGAATTAAATTAAATTTTTTTCAGAAAATCAAACATTTTGAATTTTCTAGTATTCTATTTTTAATTTTTATTTTATTTTTAATTTTTATTTTTTAATTTTTAAGAAAAATCCGAAAATTCAAATGAAATATTTTTTTCAATTGCTTCAATTTCGAATAAATTATCTCGCAAAGAGTATTTATTTTATAAAAAATTAAGCATTTGACAATTTTTTTTGAAAAGTTCAAACTTTTTGAATTTCTGAAGAAGTTCTGAAATTTTCAATATTCCATTCATGATTAATTCTTAAGAAAAATTTAAAGATTCGAATGAAAGTTAAATTTCATACCTGATACCCAACGAATTCAGGCGTAACATTCCCAGTGGTGTTATTGCCGGGCGGGCGTTGCACGATGTTCTGCGCGGTGGACGTGGCTACAAGTTCCGGATTACCAAGATTTCCCCGTCTCCTGTTCTGCCTTGGACTCGTATTCCTCGCCACCGCGACGTCCTTGTCCGGCCCCTTCACCTGTATCACTATCCTATGCTCGGTATTCTCCTGTGCCGATGCGTAAACGTTCGACGTTTGTTGCACGGTGGCCGCAGCAGCTGCCTTCAGCCTCCTCTGAGGTGGTTCGCTGGCGAGTATCGTTGAGTCACTGTCACTCGGATCACTGACCATCATGATATCGCGTGCACTCAGTATGTCCATAGTTTCTTCGTCGTTGTAGTCGGGACTGGACATGTTGCTGATCGCCTCGGACTGACTGAGGTCACCGTTGGTGGGATGAAGGCCGGAGGCCGAGGATGCGGTTCCGTCGCCGGAGGGTCCCAGGGCTGACGGTGTGGTGCCCGTGGGTACCGGCGGTGGGAACCTACGGGATCCAGAATTGGAGGACATGACGGAGGACGAGACCGAGGTAGGGGAAGTTGGCGATAAGGATCTTTGGGGACTAGTTCCCTCGGTCGAGGAGCTACTCGACGAGGATTGCGAGGAGCTGCCATTCTGGCAGCAAGAGGTGCGCTCCGAGGCTGATGGCGAGCTGACCGGCGCGTTGTACGTCCAGACGATCCTCTCGCTGGACAAACCTTGGCCGCTGTCAGGCCTCGTGTCCAACAGGGTGTTTAGGCTGGACGTGACGTCATCGTCAATGTCAATATCCACCGCGCTCATCGACGGATCCTTTTGGAATTGCAAGTGGTCCTCGGAGCGCGAGGTGCGGACGAAACCGCTCGAATAACCAAAACTCGCGGTATTTTGTTTGCTATTATCGCTCTGGCCCGGACACTGGCCGCTTTCACGTTTGCTGATTCCGACCGGTGAGGTGCTGGCCGAATTCGAACCGGTGCACTTGTAAGCACGGTGATGGCCCAGCATCTCGTTAGGACTGGTGGGTACCGAGTTATGATGGTGGTGATTGTGGTGATTATGGTGATGGTGGGTATGATGATTGTTGTACCTCAGGGAATCGATTTTCTTCTGGTGCTTCGGGAGCAGGCCGCTGCTTTGCTGGGTGCGCGACAGGTTCAACATTAGGTCACCGGTCATCATGTACGCTTCAAACCTGAGCCCATTTGGTCGAACGAACTTCGGTTAGTTGATTTGACTTGTTTTTTTACACGTATTCAGATATAAAAAATACTAAAAATTTCATTTGTTTCCTTAGAATAAAGTTACAAAAATTTAAATTAATTTGAAATCATAATAATATTCCTTTTTTCGAACCAATGGATTAGCAATTCCGAAAGTATAATATTTTTTGAAAGATTATCAAAATTATTTTCATTTTTGATCATTTATGAAATATTCGCCATTTATTTCTAAACAATATTGTAGAAAAATAGAAAATATTGTAAAAGAATAGACAAATTTTTAATATTTCATTAATATTTTTATCAGGCAGTGTGTGCACGATTTACATTCCTAAAAATAAGATATTGTATTTATTTTATTCTATTAAAAATGCATTTTTATTATAAAAAGAAAGGAAAAATCATATATTTATATAGCTATTATACATATAAGGGAATTATATTTTAACAAATATTAAAAAATATTATAATATTAAAATAAATAATATGTATAAATACAAATTACTTAATTTTAGAAAATATGATTTCATTTTGAATTCTATATTTTATTAAATAATAGTTTTACATTCAAATAATTCTAATTGTACAGAATAAAATCATAAATTTATGATCCGTCACATGAATCATTTATGACATGAAATCCTAAACAAATGATTTTTTGAAAATCATTTTTTTGTTTATATTTATTTTGAAAAATATTATTTTTTAGAAAATATATCATAAATGCTTATATATATATGCTTTTTAATTAAGATCTTTTAATCAAGATATATATTTTTTTAATTTGATTTATTTATATTTATTTATATTTATAATAATATTGATTTATTTATATTTATAAATAATACTGAACTTAATTGTTATAATTTTTTAATGCTATAATACAATAATAATTAAATATTTTTGTAAATATAATTTTTATATTTATGACAATTTTGCTTTACTTTTGATAATCTATTATGTTTAAATGTTTTTTTTTAGGTTCTACATTGAATATGATAAATATTTTATCTTATATATTTTTTTTTTCACACAAAAAAATGGAAACGTTTGAAGAAAGAGTTTAAATATATATACAAATATATGACAATAAAAAAATTTAATTCTTCAGAGAATACTATCTAGAATTTTTAATCATTAATCATAAAATAATAATATTATAATTGTATATGTAATATTATAATCAATCATTAATCATATAATAATAATATTGAGTATTTTAAATAAATTCAATATTGTTATGTTCATATTTCTCAAAAAATAATAATAAATTAAAATAACACCAATATTCTCATATGTATTATAAAAACAAAATTTTTATTTGATAGAGAATCTACTATAAAATCTTTTTCTAAAATTGAAATAATTTCTTAAGATTAATAATTATAATAATAATATATATATAATATATAAAATCATAATAAGAAAATATGAGATATTCTTTTTATTTTATATCTTTCTATATATTATATAGGAAGTTTTATAGATAAATAATGAAATCAAACAAATAATTTTAGTAATTTTCATATAAAAAAAGTGTTTCGTATAAAATAAGCATAATATAGATACTTTAAGAAAATTATTATTAAAAATTATTTGCTTTTTCTAAATTAAAAATCAAATAAGTAATGTATTGTAAAATAATATAAAAATTAAGAAAAATAAATTAAAATTAAAAAATAAATTAAAAATAAATTAAATAAAAACAATGTTAAAATATTAATGATATTAAGTTTTTAATGATGTATAAATATCAAATCAAATAACAAAATCAATATCTTGTTTTATATTAATTATACATATAAATTTTATTTTGCATAATCACAATGAATCTGTAAATATTGAATCCATAATAGCAAATTTTGATTTAAAAAAGTTTTTTTTTTTTATAAGTTTATAAGTTTGTTCTTAGTATGTGAATGATTGCTTTCATTATTATAACAATCAAAAACAAAATATATTTCAAATATCCATTTGTTTTGAATCTATATTCTTAAATTATTATTGTGCCAATAATTTACATTCATTAATTTTTTAAAAATTAAAAAATTCTACTTAAGTATATATATACAAAAATTTCCTATTACAATAAAAAAAATATATTAAATAAAAAGATATTAAATAATGCCTATAGTAAAAAATCATTGAAATTTCTATTTTGTTTGTTTCAATATATCAAATTAAATAATCAAAATCTTGATGTTTCTTTTATATTTTATCTCATATTTTTGTAATCTCTTTGAGCAAATATAATCTTAGGAACAAAAAAAGATTTATTAAAAGAAAATCAATAATATCAATTAAAAATTTTTTCTTGTAAAAAAAAAAATTTTATTGTCATTTACCTAGGTGTGTTCTTCTGTCTGGAAAACTTGTCGCCAGAAAGCGGCTCCCATTGGGCGCGTTCCTCTTCTTTGAAACTATCCATTGGTGGAAGTAGTGCCTCTAACTCGGAAGAGCCAGAGGCATCACTATAGGATCCATTGCTTCTGGTCGCATATTGTGTCGCCCCAGTTGGTTCCTGTGGCGAACCTCCCGGAAGTTCTGGTGTTCCAGGTTTCCTTAGTTCCGTACCCTCTCCGTTGCCGGACGACACTGTTCTAGGATTATTCGCGGGTGTTGTTGCCTCGAGAGATATCTTTGACGAATCCGTTTCGTCACATACCGGTTGTCCAGGTGACAATAGCCGACGTACATGAGCTTTTATCGCAGGATCTAAAGAAATGAATATCTTATTTAAATTGCGATTTTTTGTATTTAAAGATTGTATTTTGAGATAATAAGTATTTTTCTTTCTTTATTTTTTTTTAATTTTTTTGGATTAAAATAAAAGATTCGAATATTCTGAAAAAATAGATTATTTTTTTTTTCCTTTGAATTAGGATTATAAATGGAAGATAGATAGATATCTTGATTGAAATGAATTAAATGTAAAATAATGACATCTCCGAAAAGATTATATTTAGAAATCTAAAACTTTCGGTAATTATTTAATTATTAATTACAAACAGATATCATCCGATGATGACTTTTTAATATATTATTAAGATCATTACCTTGAATAATATTATGAAAATTTTATTTAGCGATTGTTGTTCGTTAAAAAGATATTAATAAAAATTTTTCTTGGAAAAAATTTAATTAAGTCAGGTTGGTTTTATTATCACAATTGATGGCCGATTATTTTACAGAAATAAAAAAACTAGTCCAAATCCAATGCAAATCATTAAATCGGCAATTAAATGAATTTTTATTTAATTTTAATTTAAAATTAAATAGAAATTAAATTTAGAATTAATATAAATTAATTAATGTCAAATAAAAATTTATTTAATTTCTAATTTCATGATTTATATTGGATTTGAGTTAGGTTAATAATTTTTTAATAAACAACTGTCAGCGACTTCACAACACTATTCACTATGATAATCTTGATAATATATTAAAAAATCATCGAGATCAAGAAATAGTATTTTTTGCAGATATTTTAATATTTATTTTAATTTTTAATTTAATCATATATATGATTAAATTTTAATTATTAATTATTTGATAAATTAAAAAAAAATAACTAAAAAAATATTTAATAATATTATATATTTTATTTTCAAATTTTATTAATTAATATAAACAAATGCTGCTATTGTGATTTATATAATAACTTGTTATTATAATATTGTATTTGTTATTATAATATTGTATTGTAATTAAAATATTATTAAAAAAAGATAAAGTATATTTTAAATTTTTTTAATTAGTTATAACCTTGATGTTTTGATAATAGATAAACTCGTTTGATAGATAAACTGATTTGAATAATAGATAAAAAATAAAAATTTTAGATAAAAATTTTATTGTAAAGTTAATTATGGCTGTTAAAATAATGATCAAAATAACGTTCAATAAATTGTATATTTTTTAAATTTTATATATTTTGTCCATAACATTAAAATATTTTTGCTTGTTTATGTAAATTATTGACTTATATTATATTGATGTGTATTAACACATTTCTTCTTAAATATATTTTATATATTTAAAATTATTTATCAACTTTTTTATTTGCTGAAGCAAAGAAGTAATGAAGCAAGAATTATAATTATAATTAATTGTGATTTTTTATTATAATTAGAATAAATTTAAAAAGTAAATGCTTTGAATAAATTAATAATTTTTGAATAAAATAATATCCATAATAATACTTATTTAATATCTATTAGTCTTAATTTTTGAATATTTATATATTATTAATAAATATTTGAAAATTATATATTATCTTAATTAATTTTCATATATTAATTATTAATGTTTTCAACATATTAAATATATATATAAAAAATTTAAAAATTAAAAATAAGAAATTCGAATATCAAAAATATTTATTTCAAATTTAAAAAAAAGTTACAAAAAATAAAGAAATAAAACTCAAATAAATCTTTTTTCCTCTATTTTTTTCTGTTGTATATTTTTTTTTTTTTCTTCATAAGAACTATTATCTTTAATAATAAGAAAATGTGCAACCTCACGTAGACTTTGATGAAACTTCAAACTTCGGAATCATGTTGATTTCGAAGCCCTTGCAAACAATTTTTTAAACACAGTTTTTCTTAAAGAACTTTTAAAGCTTTAGAAATTTCTACTTTAGTTTTAGAAAATTCATCTGAATCTATCAATCACGAAATCTTATATTTTATATAATTCTTTTGAAAATTGTTTTCGATTCCGATTTGCTGTTCACGAGTAAAATTAATAATTACAAAAATTTATTAATTCTGAACAATAGAAACTGAAATTTTTAAAATAAATAAAAATACTTATTTATATAACAAAATATTTGTAGCTCAAAAATTAATATGTGGATGAAACATTTTGAAAATACTTTATACATCATGGATTCCCAAACAATTTTAAAAGAGGTCATAAATGTCATTTATAAAATAAAAATATTTGTAACATTTGTAATTAATAATAATAATAATAATACTTGGTTAACCTTCACTTTTCATTTGATTAATTGTTATAAAATTATTTTTACCAATAGTATTTGGAATCGAAACTTTAATTTTTAACACGTATACATCTTCGGAAACTTAAAATATCGTAAAAAAAAAACAAACATTTTTTTTCTATCTCACTTATATGCAATGTTTTTCTTTCTCATTTGTCACGATTAAAGCAAGCGAAATCAAGAAAGAACATACTCAACTCTCAACAACAATTTTCAGAATATTTAGCTTCTTGAATGACTTGTCTTGTGATAGTTATTCGGGCACTATTGTATTTACATAAAAAATATCTATTATATTTATATATATTATAAAGTAAAAATTTTTCAGCAAAATTCATATTTGATTCTATTGAATATTTTAATTAGTTATAATAGTTATAATTTTTAATAATTTTTATGATCTTAACCTTATAAATTTTTTTAATTTTTACTAATTTGAAGAATTTTATATGAAAATAAAATTCTTATATAGTTATAGTTATGTACTTTATTTTATTAACAATATGTTTTTATGTAATTATGAAAAATAAAGAGATGAAAAATTATTTGATTATTGTAAAGTCATATTTCTATTTATATATAGAAAAGCTTGTATATATATAGATAAATAAAAAATCACTTTCGTTTATAATTACATTATTTTCTATTCAAAATCTTTATGATAGATTCTTATAATCGCCATAAAAAAGATTTGCATGAAATAATAATTTTCACTAATGCTCATATAATATTTATATTCTCTTTTATAAATATATCTTTTAATCTTGCAGAATATCTAACTAAAACTGCACTAAATTTTTCATTATGAAAGAAACTTCTTGTCCTTTATTACATTACAGCATTACAAATTTCAAAATATTTTTAATATACTAAATAAATAATATAATATAATAATAAACTTTTAAATAAACTAAATTACAAAAATATTTTTTAATTAAAAGTTCCTATTAGCGATTTTTATTATCAAAAATATAAAAAAGCAAGTGATAATTTTTTCAAGAAATTGAAACATGGAATAAAATGTTTCTACTTTAGTGAAAGTAGAAACAAAATAAGTTCAAGATTTATTAAATAGTTATTTTATTTATTATAATGAATTCACTAACAAGGTCAGGATTAAATATTTAGAATTCTAAGTTTATAAAAATAAATTTGAAAGTAAAACTTTTGAGAACAATTTACTATTCCCTCATTACTATTTGAAATCCATAGATATCCTAATCTTAAATATACACTCCGTATATTTAAATAATATAGGATGAATTAATAAGAACTATTAGTATATGGAAATTTATATCTATTGATTATATCAAAATTTTTTTAATATATGTAATTTTTAAGGAATACATTGAATCGATTTGATTTTTTTTATATCAAAATGAATTTGCCTTTTTCAAAACAATATATTTCAGGGTCCCACATCGCTATAAAAAATAAAATATAAAAAAATCACATTGCATCCATTCGATATATTCCTTAAAATACATAATTCATTTAAAATATGATATGAAAAAACTTTGGAAAGTTTTGAAAATCTTAACCGTTTTGGATGTCTTGAAAATCTTAAGAATTGTGATAGCGCAATGAGTATTCAATATCTTCCTATTGTTTAATTACTTTGATTCATTGACGTAAAATATCTATTATAAGAAATTCAGAATAACTGAAATCCAGAAAATTATCATAATTATATTTAGTAATTATTTAAAAAACAATTACAATCACGTTCAATTTTAATGATTTTTGAATATGTAGAAATGAACATTTTGAACAACTTTTTTTTATATATATAATCATTATTTATCTGTACTTTTCGAATTATTCTTTTCGAAAAAAAAATTACTATTATTACATTGAATTTCGAAAATATACATATATATGTTCATGATAACATGTGCGTCACTATATTACTATTATTTGATATTTCTATAAATATATCACAAAATTTTATTGTAATTTTATTATTATTGTAACTTAAGAATTTCAAAACATTATTATAACTTAAAAATTTCAAAAAAATTTATCAAAAGTTTTGAACTTCGAATTATGTTCAAAATGATTTAAATTTTTCATATAATATAAAAATAAATATAAATAAATTCGAAGTATCTCAAATTCCACTATTATTTATGTCATTTTCGAAACCATTCTTAATCAATTCTTATTCATTTTTCTTATACAATAATTTACATTCATTAATTAAAGTGCATATCCTTTTTTTCTTTTTGTTTCTTTATCTTCAAATTTACTTTAATTATTTTCACTTGAACAATATTCATCGCGTCTTCAGTACATTTGCAATTTTCTGCGCGATCTTGTGCCAGTAGGATTAAAAAAAAATCACCGTGGCAACATGGAACAAAAAAGAAAACAGAGCTTCTCTTCACGGAAATTTATCACCAGTGCGTGGAGAACTTCAAAGCGGCCGACCACCGATCCCAAAGCCATCGCCAAAGAAAACTCGCTATCCGGGTGGAAATGCGGCGGAGGAACTTCGATTCCCGCAGGATTGACTCGGCCGAGAACGCGATTTATGAGCGACAGAACTCGCCCTTAAATAATGTAGTTCTACGCCTACGTCTCGTCGCCGTTGTTCGACCAGCGATGGCTGCACCCGCCACACTGTTTCACATTTACTCTGCCCCACAACGAGAGCAACCATTCAACCATTATGATCCGTCGTCAAGAAATGCAATATCTAGTTTAT